AATAATTCTTATTTTTATTTATTTATTTTTCCTGGTAAATATATCTCAATGATTTATATGGTTGGAAATACAAACATTGTCTAATTTGTACTTCTGTAAACGAGAAAGATAGTCGTATCTGTGGTTTGTCGTCAGCTTGTTTTTTTTACAATAAATTAATTTCAAAAAGAAAATTCGTACATTTTATGAATTGAATTATAATAAATTGATAAATTAATAAAAATGAATAAAGCCTTATATTTAAAATTGCTCAACTGTAAATTTCACTCTCGATTAAAATGTATTTTTAAATTAAAATTACAACCAACTCGCATTGACATTGTCTACTATTAAGTAGAAAAAAAACATTCAATGATCCGGTGTGAAGTGTTCAATTTTGACGCTGCTCATATGACTTGTCTACAACACATAGATGGAATTAGTATCTACTTATATATTATATGTAACATATTTTTAACCGTAAGTCAATTAACTAAACAAATATATTTTTAGTATTTATACGCTTACGTTGCCATAACTTAAATGTCCCAAAAAATTTCAATTTCAGTCATAAAAATCAATCTTTGTATTTCCCCATTAAAATAATGAAATATTGTAATTTTTATTTTTGGTTTAGAATAAGACTTAACGCTTACAAATATTTTCGCACATATTATTCGAATGCAAACAAAGTTCTATGTAATATTCGAGATATTTATCACATTTTTCATTACGTCATTACTGTATAAATTATTGCAACAATAAATATGATATCATTAAAATGAAAAATCACCTCATAAAATTATTTACTAAGTAAAAAATTGATAATATTATGCAACTTGCATCAGTTTTGCACTTGGTAATAATACGTGTACGTACAAGCATAATATGCTATTATAATTACGTTTTGACAAATTGTATTTTAAAAGTTGTTTTTTATTTATAGTTTATATACTAATGTATTTTATTTAAATCTTACAGTATAACAAAATTTGATTTATATATTTTTTTATGACCCATCACTTAATACTTTTTTAACATTGTGTGTATACGTCATCGATTTTGCAATACTATATTTCTCAGTAGTAACAATCGTTTTAGTTTGATAATCATACTACAATATAAAATATGGTTATTTTGCAATCTGTTTATCGGTTAGTCTATTGGAAAAAATGTCATGAAATCGATCAAATTGCTCCGAAACTTGAAAACTTGTTTATGTTTTCTTATGATATATTGTTTTCGAATACCGTTTTACGTATGTCCCAAAGTATAGCAAACGCACACAGACACATATACTCGTATATATATATATTACCAGCGAAATATTTTCAAATTTTTTGAGGAAAGGTTTTAAATTTTTCTTTAAATTAAATGATTTTATAAAAAATACATATAAGGTATGAATTAATAATTATACTATTGTATTATTATTATTAATTTATTACAAATGAAGAATTATATATAACCACATGATAAAAATTAATGTTCTTTTTTGGGTACCTTCGTATTAAGTCATTTATGACTTTTGGACCTTTTTTTTTTCTTCCGGGGAGGAGATCAAGACCCGATACCCCCTCAAAATACGCCACTGTATATAACAACATTATTAACAACATGTGCCGCCTACCAACATCATGTAATTTAATTCATAATTTTGATTTTTTTTTTCGACTCCTTAACTAAGTTAAAAAATTGTATTTATAATTTAAACATTGATGTTTAATTTGATTTAATTGTATACAATTTGTCTTAATTATTAATTTAGCGATATTTAGTTACACTCACTGTACTCTTACTCTTTGGGGTGTTAAAATATTTATTTATTTCAATAAATATTATTATTATTATAACGCGTCTACTTTTACATTTTTTCATCGATCCATCAACACTGTCATGATATTGTTTATGCGTAGGTATAAGAAAACGTTCAAGAATCGATTTTTTTTAAAAGATCGTTCGTTCCGAAAAATGTGTTTCGAGTCACTTCAATTTAAATCAATACACCCTATACGCATAATAGCTAAACTTTTACGGTCCCGACGACCTATTTAAAGCCAGTTGACAATACAAGCGTTGTAAGAAAAAATAAATAAAAATGTTGGAAACGTGTGATTTCTACGGAGCACGCGAAATCATGACACTGCTGTACTACAGCACGACGCTGCGTGCGACATAAACGATATAAAGACTTAAACCGCATTGTGTGCGCATTACCAACGGTCGTCGATCACACGGCTGCGAGTAGACGCGCGTGCGGCATTAGCTACGGGTACACCCGTGCATAAAATATTGCGGGACGACGCGCGAAGAACTGAAATCAATTGTTCGTGCAGTCTTATCGCCCCGAACATGAATATGAAATCAATGGAAAAATTATTAAAATAAACAGGAAATGTGTCTTTTAGATGTGCACGATTAGTTCACACGTAACGTTTTTTTTTTCCACGTCTGTATTATTTTCCTTTACAACTAGGTCACGTAATCTTCGAATGGAGCGCACTCGTCAAAGTTATGCGACATGATAGTATCGATTCACCCGCGTGTGCAGCCTCTATTTTTTAGTGAACCCCGACACATAGTGTGTAGGCCAAAATCGGAAATGTGCACTGCGGATTCGAGAAGTGTATGCCTACTAAATACTCGTAAGAAATAAGACGGGCGATGCCCGTTTCCACCAAAAGTTTATCATTCCTTTTTCCACCAATATCCGTTTCCACCAAATGAGATACTGACCACGTTTTTACCAAAACATTTGCATACTACGCTTAAATTAAAAGCTATAGCACAGAAATAACTTTATTTAAGACATACATACATAATTCAATAAATTTAAAAGCATTATAAAATATATACTATATAGATTGGAAAATGTTAAATTTTATTTAAAAAAATGGTCAGATATAAAAAGATAAAAAAATAATATATTATGATATACGATACCTTAGTTATGTAAATTGTAACTATATATATAATTAGTTGATATTTATTAATTAAACTGTGCCATCTTTTCATTTGTTCATAAAGTATTTGACTATTTAGATATTATAATGGTTAATGGACATAAAAGTACATGCATAAGTACGATAACAGTTTAACATACAATTAAATTAAATACAATAAATGTACAATATACATTGATTATATTGTGTGTATATTTATATATATTTTACATCAATCCAAAAAACTCATGAAAAGTATAGGTATTTTAACTTATTTGGTGGAAAAGAGAATGATACACTTTTGGTGGAAACGGGTATTGGAAAAGGGAAAGGTCTACTTTTGGTGGAAACGTGTAACGCCCAATAAGACTACTATGAAGTTGTTTTTCAAGAAGCCAGTTTAAGCAAGAAAGATGATGACTTAAATATATCTATTAAATTTTAAATTATACATCTCTCATATTAAAATAAATAATTTGTTAATAGTTTTCAGATTTATACCAGATATAAGTACATTTTCAGTTTAAAAAATATTAACAGATCGATAGTTACCTAATTATAATGTGCAATTCGATTAATAAAAAAAACTATTACTGACATTGTACTAAAAATTATAATCATATGGAAGTAGGGTAGAGTATCATATCATTTTACACTGAAAAATATGTAGTACGATTTTTTATGAAAAAAATAGGGGCTGCGCATGTGTATATGTACATTTTCGTATACGTATTGTACACCTAGTCATCTAATTTACTTTCAGTACCTATGTATACTACAACGTTACGGATCTAATTTTACTACATATTGCCTAAACGGAACGGTACGCAACAGCTCATGTGCAGCCGATAATGAAAATCACTAATACTCTATAATAGATATTTATCCTAATTCAAAAATGTACCAAAAAAGATTGAAATCGAACTTTTGTGCATTCATAATGTACATTTACATATCCGTTATTTGAACGTTTAATTTGTTCATTTAGTTTTCTAATACTAACAAGTCCGAATAGAAATACGTTTAATTCTTTCTGAATGGTATTCACTAATTATAACCAACAACGAATACATACAAAAAAAAATTCGGATCAGAATATTGCGTCAACAACATAAATACACAAATAATATGCATTTGTGGAACACGCATACATACACATATTAATCGACTTACTACAGTTGTCTTCGTTCATTTTTATTAGTGCGGCGACGTTAACGGCGCACTTTGCATGAATATAATAAATATAACCATGTATCTACCATCCACAAAACGATAAAATAACATCGATGCAACAGATATTATTATATGTAATATAGCTGACACCAATTGTGTTTGAATAATAATTAATGTTTGAGTTATGAAATGAGCGCATATGAATCATTTTCAATACTTCGTCTGCTTAAATTGTGCTAATAAAAAGTGATTGCTCTGGCGGACAATTTTTTTTTTTTAAGAGTAACTAATGACGTTTTAATTACTTTACACTTCATACATCGACGCGTAACCCAAGTACCTTGGATTTTATATAATGATTATATTATTAATTTTTCATATTATATTGCTTTTGACTAGATTATATATAAACGGTATAGTAAAATTATGCTGTACGAATATGACGACGATAAATATTAGTAATTAATTTCAAAAGTTCGCTCGTACTTGTGGTTAATGTGAAACAATTAATATCTATAGAGCAAAACGTGTTGTAACAACGCAATCACCAATTTGTTTGTGTACGATAAAATAATTTCGAATTACGATTGCATAATTCTACTAAAGTGCAATCAACATACTGGGCGTATTTCACATAATTTCAATTTAAAATACAACAAATACGTATGCGAAATAGGTGTTTCAAAAGTTTCGAGTACATAACATAACAGTCGACTGACAATCTCATCACGTTGGAACATATTACATTGGATTGGATTGTTCTTTGAACTTGCAATAGGTTTCAAAACAAATGTACCGAAGCATACATTGAAAAAAAAAACCCTGTTAGATTTAATCAATCAATAAATTTATCAAGTCGTGACGCCATTGTCGTTTTTACTAACCATGCGGGTGTTTCGTACGCAGGTGTAATGAAGCGCGGCGCATGTCCGAAGGTGGTCTCGTCATGCCTTCATGCTTGGCTGCCAACTTCAACAACAACAACACCACCAACAACAATAACCGATCGCAGCAAACTGGCGTTCTCAGACGAAAGTTCAGCTTCCCCGCGGTGCTGCAGTCGCAGGGCCTACATGCTGAGCTGGGTGGTATCGACTTCGGCGGCAGCGGCGGCAGTGGCGGTGGTGGCGGCCCGTCCATGGCAGTGGCCACGGCACGCCGGCGGTTCAGCAACGTCAGCGATGTGGTGTCCCGCAAACTATCGCACACGATCGGCTGGCGGACGGCCGTGCCGACGGAGCAGATAGCGCGACAGGGCAGGGCGCTGTGTGTGCAGTACGTGCGGTGGAAGTTGAAACGGGCCGGCGCATACACGAAGAAATGCGCGGCGGCGCTGCGTTGCGCGCGCGCCACGGCCATTGCGTCCACGGCCACGGCGGACGTTGCCGGCGGGTTCTTCATACCGCCGCTGCAGGTCGGCGGCTCGGCAGCGACGGGGACGGCGAACGATCGGGCGGCGGACGGGTTGCGCCGCGAAGTGTTCCCGGCCATGCTCCGGGTCGGGCTGCAACTGGAACGGCTCGACCCGAAACTGTACGCGACCGGCATGACCGCGAACGACACGCCGATGTCCACAGCCGCCGCAGCCGCGCTCTCGCACCGCCTGATGCAGCGGCCGGCGTTCAGGAGGAATGCCGCGGACACGGCCACCGCAGCCGTCGTCCTAGTGTCTGTTTCCCGGGAGCTGTTCCGGGCCGGCGCACAAGTCACCTGGGCCAAGGTCGTGTCGCTGGTATGTGTGGCCGCCGGACTGGCCGTCGAGTGCTCGCGCCGCGGCCGCGCCGAACAACTGCCCGGCCTGATCGAGGCCGTCGGCGAGGTGATCGAAGACGACTTGGCCGCCTGGATCCATTACAATGGTGGATGGGTCAGTATACCGTCAACGGACCACGATTAACGCGCGTACGATATATGCCACAAACGCGTTTCGCTCCATCGGTGTGCACGCCCGCAGGGGGAGGGGGCAAAAGGTCCATTGCCCTTATTGAAAATTTCTGTTTCAAAACTATTGTTAATTTAATACCACGCATATTAATTATAACATTATTTTATTAAGACCCATTTATAAAGATTAGTAAAATTTATTATATTTTTAGATAATCTAAAATGTATAATCTTGAACGAATTTATTAATTTACAATGTTTACGCTTGACTACATATCGCTTAAAATTATAAAGTCTCCTGAGTACCGATTTCTATGGTATTTGATTTTGTTCTCATCTATTTTTAAATACAGGTTGTTTTGGCTCTTAGAATTGTAATCTTGCCTCGGGTGGGATTTTATCCTGCGGGCGCATTCGCTCTATCGGTGTGCGTTTTGCGGGCAACGGTTAAGTGATCTGGGCTTATTGGGTATTGATAACAGTACATACGGTACGATCGAGATCTCGGTTTGGTTTTCGGGAAAAACTAGACGTTTTTGGATTGTCCCACGGATCGCTTTCGTTATAATGTTTTTCGGAATCTACTGCTAAATATTAGTTACATTCGAGCCGATTCGTACGCGAATGTGAATCACGCACGCACAGTTTTTCCAGATAGCAAAAACGTTCATAATAAAAACCCACTCGATCTTGATCGATTATAGGCGCGTTTACGTAACAATGTACGTTATTGCTGACATATATGCATGTAATAATATGATGGCACACGCATATTATGTCCATACGTTTTTAAGCGAATACGAATCTCCGTACGGTTTCCAAGCTCGATCCGGGTACTGAAAATAATAATTATACGATAGCATTTAAAAATTATATTAATACTCAGCAAACATCTGAAAAAATTAAGTAAACCATGTAAATTTCTCGTCGTGTTAAATATTAGCTCTGGGCCGTATAATCTTCCATCGGTATAAAAATAAGAAATTTTATGGTAAATGAATACATTATTAATTGTAGGTATATATTTACGTGAAATACTTTTTAATGCAATTTCGTTTTAATCGTACACTTATACACAACAATTTGCGTTGGTAATTTCGTGTATAATAACGGCAATAAATGTTATGAAAATAGTGATTAAACGCACGGTTGAATGTATGCATTAACACTATTCTCGATTACAAAAAACATTAATGAACTCATTACAAAACGTGATAATAACAAATCGTTTTACTAAAAATGTTATCGTGAACAGTGAAACTACCACTTCATCCGTGTATCGGGTTAAAGTTTTTCGAAATCAAATAAAACAATTCAACAAAACGTGTTTTGAAAAATGTTCTTGGTAGCAATAACTACTATTCGGTACGTAAAAGTCATAAAACCCGATGCTCATTTCTCATAAACAAATTGAACCGCACACATGAAACGAACTTGGTCAATATTATCTGAACAACTTTTAAAACTTTTTTTTTTAATACTTGTTATAATACCGATTAGAGAAAATGCATCATTTACACTTAAACCTTCGAATATAGTTCTAAAAAAAAGGTCATAATTCTCCGTAAATTTTTATTTATTATTACATAATGTAAAAATATATATGATAAAGTATGAAATAGGTAAAATATACATTTTTAAACGTACCTATATTTAGAGGTATTGTTCACAGCGTTCAATAAATTGTTTTAATTTTTTATTTCTTCAAAGAGATCCGAACTATGTGTATATGACTAACTCCGAATTATACGTTCAGTTATTTCTCATAACTAATTCGGCTTTAACCATATCACTACTAAACTACTATAACTACTAAACGATTGCGCTCTCCATCCACAAACTATTCACTTGGTTAAAAATGCGTTCAACAAATAAATTACTACACGGCATAGTATAAAATACATATACAAGTTTGAAGTCATTACGATTATACGATTAACTGACAGCAATATCTGATAATCAATTTCACAAAAACGATGAAATATTAATAAATTTAATCGAAACTCTCGATCAGATAGAAATATCGGCTTTCTATAATTCGGTGCACATGTGATAGGTTAATACCAGTAACCAGATTTTTAAGTCTAGGGAAGTGAAATACCGGCCGGTTCGCAATCATAATGGTAATGTAAAATAAAACAAAAATTAGTAAATGGTTTACTACTAGAGTAAATTATTTACTCGTAAATAATTATATAAACAAATTATTTATACGTAGAAATAAATAAATAAAACGCTGAACCTGGAGTATTAATATATGTGTATTGTAAAAAAATCATCACTCTGTGTTATGGTTATAGTTAACCGGGAACGAAACTCCCAAAAACCGGCACCCTCCACCCTCCAGGGACCAAAAATAATGGCATTAAATTTCCTACACAACAATGTATCCCACAAGGAAATTACAAACGTAATACGACTGATCTCGATAACCGTTTGGCCAAGAATCGGGTCATGTTATATACGCCACCGTTCTGGAATTTATAAGACTTAGTGGTCTCTGATTGATCTTTACGCGTGGCAAAGATGGTCTGTGAATTGCATTTTAAAGACCGGCATTATGTCGCATAAGCTCACTGCTTATCATCACGTCGTGCCATTCGACACAATAGTGTAATTTTATTTTCTTAATTCGAATATCCATCTTTAGCTCGCCATACACGAGCGGATTTCATGACGGATTTGGTCTGACGGACTCAATCCTTAGGTCCTCTACGTTTTCAGACGACTTAAGACGTTCTGAAAGATCTGCGGATTTATACGACGGACTACAGCTGGTTTATCAGTTATTATTGTTGGTATCACTATCATCTATAAATTTGTGTTAATTAAATGTTATTTTACAATCATACATTTTAAATATAGAATTGATATAACATACATTTATATCAATTATATTTATAATTTTTATTATAATTATTAGTATTATATAATATATTATAGTAATAAATAATCATAACAATATGCCTCCTTGATTATTGGGTACCATTATATCTCAAAAACAAAAATGAGACTTAAGTGGGTCAAAACCTGGCTTGCTATAAAATACTTGTTTAGTCACATGCCACTGAATGAAGAGTTGAATGAAAATGAACCAAATTATTTGAAAAACTATCAATAAAATAAAAATGTCTTATCAAGGTCCGTCGGACCTGGTCTTTTAATCTAATTTTAGCCAAAGTGACTTGATCCGTTGGACTAAATCCATCGGATCGTTCGATCTGCCAGATCGCATCCTTAAAACACCACACACAATAGGACTTTTTAGAGGATTTAATTCGCCACAGACCAAATCCGTCGAAAAATCCGCTCGTGTATGGTGAGCTAATCGCACGTGTTAAACACTTGTACACGAAACGTGATCAACGTACGTGTCGTCTCGTAATGATATGCGCAGCTTGTAACAGTATAAGTTATTCTGGTACGACCGGACTGTTCCCATATTTAAAAATTATGTTCCCTACGTGTAACATGTTTATTATGTTATAATTTATTGTGAACCCACCGCGATGCCCATATTTTACTTGTTATAATATCGACACGCATCTAATAACCGTCCATTAATTTGCATGCGCATACCTGCGAAAACAACAATTACACATGTACAATAATACTACCCCACCACCCGTATAAATGTACAATAATAATAGTACATGCAATTCGAATGAGCGCCCGCGTGCCTGTTTCCGGGAGAAAATTTATTGAAGGCTCTGTGCAACATGATGTGACGCATATAATATATATACACGTATATAATACCATTCGACCGGGTAAAAAAAAAAAAAAAAACATTTGATAATAATTTCTTTATCGTGGGGTATTATTTTATAATTCTTTATGGCTATTATTAATAATTATTGCCGTTGATTATAGTATTTCACTAGCTTCTAGATTATTTCATACGACCGCAGATTTTTTACGTGGTATTTATCGACCGTCATCAGTGCCTACTACTGTGTGAAACCAGTAAAACATATATATTGCAAGGGCGTTTGCATCACCTCATCTGAAAAATTCCAAGTGCGACTAATTACAACGTACAAACCTGAATAATCGATCGAATTCCGAATAAAAATAATGGTCCGTCGACTTTTTCCAGCTGCTCAATCATTTGATAATTATTTTAAAACAATGTCTTAGTACCTACATAAAACCAATCGTTCATATAAATGATCCAAATAATTATGTACTCTACACCGAAACGGAAATAAATTACGTAAAAAATCAAGAATTATTCAATTAATGTTTTGAATACAAGAGAACTAAAAAAATAAAATAAAACCGTACACTTAACAGAATTAAACAATTTCTGCAGTCGCATTATATTGCTCATTATAGAGAACATTGAGATTACATTATCGATGTTCTCCAAACATTGGAAATTATAATAAATCGGAACAATCGATATTATAAAATACGGAAAATATTAAAAACGTTTCCCGCAAACGTTACGGCCAAGTTTTCATAAAGTATGCGCCTATGATTTTATATCACCGAGTCTACTCGCTTAGCACACGCAATCGTTTTTTTTACTAATCCGCATGTTACCTACTAATAACTGATGACAAAAAGTTACCCGAATTCATAAGACTTGTTTATGAGACACTGCCATTATATTTTTTTAATTGTACGATGTTATTGCATTTCGTACCGTTTCCAAAAGTAGTAAGGAATTTTATTATTTTCATCCTGGTACACCGAAAAATTCGACAATTAATCTTCGTGAATTATATTTGTTAAAAAATTTAATCAAATTACTGAAATTCGACGAGTACATTGATTAAACTACAAATTATTATTCTTTTTTTTCACCCTTACACGTGCGCTGTGGTCTTAAACATTATGCAATATGCAAATAATTGAACGGCTCACTAATTTATCATTTGTTTTAGATGGGACTCCAGTCGTACTGTAAACCAATTGTCGTCAACGTCGAAAACCCCATTTCCACGCAGATCGTGTACCTGGTATCATGCCTTGTTGTCATTATATTTTTTTTGTTGATGTTGAGATGGTTTGACTTCATATCTATGTTCCGGTGAAGTAGATCGCGCATAACATATTAATTTACAGGTGTACAATGTACTTATAGAACCTATACAGCTTCAGACGATTGTTTTACCACGCATTAGATAATGAAATGTTAAGGCATAACGTAATACATGTAACTGTGTAAGTTGTATTATTATTTGTACCTATACCTATGCAATTATATTATTTTTATCTGTAAAACCGATTGTTTTCGAGAAAAAAAAATGTTAAAAAATAAATAATAATTGATCGATTATCATTCTTATTTTCTTATTAATATGCTCCACTTATCTATTTGTAGGTTTCAATGATAATTAAAAAATAAAAATATAAAGTAAATAGTGATGATTTTATTGTCCATGTGTAAATGTTCAAACATAATACACCGACTAAAATCTGTGTTTAAGTAAAATCTACTATTATTCAAAACCATTTGACTGAATCGAGCAAATAATTTATTACATTCAACTAATAATTATGCTATCGTAAAACTTAAAAAAATGAAAAATAAAATAATTAGCAAGAATAAGAAGTTATTTGATGTAAACGAATTAACGAATACCTACTTTAAGCATGTGTAAACTAATAAAAAGTGAACATAATTATTATTGTGGCGCGCAAATGTTCAACGAATTACATACCTACTATTTTACTTTTTGGTTTTATAAATCACCGTAGACTTAAATCAATAATAAATTAAATATTCAAAGTAGATTAAATAGTTAGATCGATACATTTTACCTGTATAACGTTGAGATGGACTCTCGCTCAACTGTTTAGTTCCGCATGGAATGTTTCTGACCTTAACTACCTAACCTAACTAAGAATTTGACTGAATATATTTCATTAAAAAGAAAAAATTATGGTCTCAGCTACATGTAGAAAAACCGATCAATTTAAAACAAAATTTACCCGATTACGTAATGATATGCGGCAACAGCAAACGGCATAATTAAAAATTGATTTGGTACCGCTTATAGGAAAATGCATTTTAATTGATATTTATACATAATAAATCAATGTAGTGGTGATTAAAATAAAAAGAAAAACACTATTTCAACACATTTATTCGATTAATTTTTGTAATCGTATATCGCAATGTCGTGGGTCGGATTGGTGGTCTATGATACGCGTGCCAAACATTGCACATTGACTGAATTTCAATGAAACGTGGGAAATAAGGAAATTAAATATAAATACCTTAAATACGGATTACACTAAAATAGTTTTTTAATAATATAAACAATCGTATACATATGTTCTGGCACGTGAAAAGTTTCCAAAATTTTAATCGCCATATATTAGTACAGTGGTTTTCAACCTTTTTAACAATGCGGTACAATTCATTTACAACAAAGTTTTCGCGGCACACTAATCCATATATTATGTGAACCATATTTATATATATACTGTTTACAGTCTACTCTACTAGAGGGTTATTTATTGAAAAATATATTAATACAATCGATCGATCGAGGCGGCTGCGACGGGCATACTTACAATAAATAATATTATATGTATCTACGATTAGTTCGATTAGTTTTCATCTCGAATATCAGTAATAAGCTGGTAAATACATACTTATAAAACAATTTATTGATTTATCACGGCACATTTAAAGGGCGCTCGCGGCACACCGGTTGGGAACCACTGTATTAGTACGTACTAAGGGATCGTAGTCATACACAGTTATAAGAATACACGTGTACACGTGATCCAGATACACGTCTCAAAAATATATTAAGATCCGTGTTTTTTATACACGATTATTTTTTACCGATAAACGTGTATTAACACTCGTTGGTCTTTACCTACCTATGTATTTATTATATGTATTATACATTCACGGTTTATTTGAAAATATAATGGCTCATCTCTATATTATTTTAATCTAATAACATTTACGATACTATAATTTGTCTATTTTTAGGAATGATTGCTCGGGAACTTTTTGAACAGACTTCGTTCACGGATGATGTCCGGTACAGGGGTAGTATGTACGTGTATTTTAATTGCATTGGCCTTAACCCTGTTTCAAATAGGAATACGCAAACTTGTGTAATGACAAGTACTAGTACGTATCGTGGGAAAATAACTGCCACCCCAAACACTGTCTAATCATGCCTAAAAAAGAATAATTTGTGTAAAACGTATAAGATCTTGTCGCAAATGACAATACAAACCGATTCTGATGCGGAAATGCCACTCGAATAACATTTATATTCTAGGTTGTGCATATTAATGTGTTGTACATCGCTATAATATTATTATGTAAAACATGTATTTAATATGTACACTGCAACAATTTCAAACGGAAACATGACATTATTATAATACAAGCGTATACGAATTTTCCCGTCATTATACATATATTGTATACAGCAGTCTTCTATTAATATTACGTCTTGTTTTTTTATTTCTTGTAAAATTATAACAATAAATTTTAAAAAAAAAACTTCCGCCTAGGTTTAATTTATTTTTTTGTTGTTTTTTCATCGTAACATTAACATAAGCTTATAAAAGAACAATAATATATTAACAGGAGGGAAAAACGTCATACTAAGGTTTAGTAGTAAGTGTTCGTTTACGAGCACATATTAAAGCAGTTAAAGTTAATGACTCATCGATTTCGATAACATATCCCCTAATAACGAGTACAGATACGTACGTATTGAGATTAATTCAGAACTTTCAAATCACGAGAGAGAGAAAAAGAAAGAAAAATGGACATAGAGACATGCGGTCTTATCATCCAATTTCATCAATCGAATCAAGGCTAGTTAAAATAACAATAACGTAAGCTCAACGTATATTGCGTCTATCGCCCATCACGTACTACTATTTTGTTAACGTAGTTAACGAGTACGATTCTTGTACACAAACGCCTTACTCTGTAGCGATAATTTTATTCAATTACATGTACGGTATGTACTACAGTATGTTGTATAATATGTTAAGATTATAGTTCGAACAAGACCGAACGCTGCCCTGAACGAACCAGTGGATGGATTTGTTCGCGTTCGGCAGAGTTCATAGAATGGTACGAATAAAGAAAACCATACTTGGGAATACTTAGAAGCAAATACGAACGATTAATTTATACGGTGCAGTCAGACGTCTAGGAAATCTAACAAATTTGTTTGATAGTGTTCGCGTTTGGACCATAGTCGAAATGCGCTTTTTTTTAATATTATCATCCGTCGTTGAAGCTGGTAATGTTGACTGTATTATTTTTCGAAAAACATATTCTTTTCAAAATTATTAAAATTATTGAAAACGCTAAGGGTGTTCGATAAAATAGCCAACTATATTATAGGTACAGACACTATTTGTAGTTAGGTAATAACAAGTTGAAAATATTTATGCTAAAATAGATGCCTATAAACTGTAGCGGACTCACTGGGTGTGGTGTGTTACTATTCCATAACACAGTGGGCTTCATCCGGCATTATAAGTTATGGTTCGCTAGCTAGATATATATTTATTATTAAGAATCACTTATAAAATATATACATAATGGCAGCCAATATTGATAATATTACATATCACCCCTATGCAAGGCCGTAACTGGGGGGTCTAGGGGTCCGGACAATGCATGCTTATCCGGCTCTGTATTTATCTTACAAACTACTTATAACATTTTCAATATCACAAGTAGGTTGTGAGCGTAGCTTTTCAAAATTAAAATATGTTAAAAATTATTTGAGAAACTCTATCACTCAAGACCATTTAGAAAGTTTCATCCTCATGAATGTAGAAAAAGAAATTTTAACTTCTATTTGCCCTGCTACCATAATCGATAAAGTTGCTTTAAATAGTGAAGCATTAAAAAAGTTACTACTGTATTAATTTAAATTAGTAAACAGTTATATATACCTATTCAATATGATTTTCATCATTAAAAACTCTAAATAATTAGTACTAATTAACTAGTAATTGCAAGTACTATGAGCAATTTGTAAATTATTATGTATTAAATTGTAATATAATATGGTGCGAGCGAAGCGAGCGGCTTATTTTTTATGGGGCCTAACCTTTTTAGGCCCTTCCAATTCCTTCCCAGTAAAAAAAATATATGCCTATCCGCAACTGATCATATGTGTAGATTTCACTTCCGGTGAAGTAGAGTAGAGCAACCAGAGCGATGACAGGCGAGATAACCTACAGAATAAATTTTGCAAAATGTTTTTTGCACTAAGCCGAGTTCGAACTGATGATTGCGCGCGTCGTAGCCAACTGTTTTATCACTGCACCTCACTTTTCCTCAATATTTATAAATATATTATAAATAAATACAATTTTATATAGTATTTCAGCATTTGAATTATTTTTTTTTTTCTGTCTTTCATAAATATATTGCTTGTAATGAATACATGAAGTAACTAATAATTTTACAAAATATGGATTATAAAATCGGAAATACATTATGTACTTAAAACTAAATTAGACCATTGTAATCAATGAAACAAATAACCATTTGACAATATATTTTAACATTTGCATCACTATATTTTTACAATATAAAAATTGTTTCATAGAAAAAACATGAAATTGTAAAAATTAGGCCCAGCAAATTTTTTAATAAAATTTTTGTTAATCCAATAAGTTTAATTTTTTGAAAGAAACCTACTGAGATAAATTAGCGTTAACTACCATTTATACAACATGCCATTTTTATTAGTTAAATACTTAAATATAATGTGTAATTTGAGTATGAATTATATAAATTATATCAAAAAAATATATTGGACTTTATATAAGACTAGAAAAATTAAACAAAATAATAATGTATAGAAATTATTAATAAATATTTTTTTTATATAGTTCGGTATACTATAAATGTTGAATTTCCTCGACAACCAACTTTGTTTAGTAAAATTTTGGTTTGACCAAAAGGCAGTTTCCATTCATCTCATTAACATCGTGACACTTACTTTTTAGTGATTTGTATACATTTAATTGTATCGTTGAAATATATTAGGAATTGCTTAGATTGATTTTCATCATGGTAAGTTTTTATAATTAACTGTAAATATTAAAGTTGATATTAATTAAATAGAAAATAATAGTTTACTAGAAATCATTTTTGGTTACGAATATTGTGATTCTCGATTTGATCGAACATAATATTATTATTGTATTTCATTTGATGCATTAGCGTGAATGTATTTCGGTACACATCGGTCAGGCTGGAGTGCAAATCGGTAACGCCTGTTGGGAACTTTACTGTTTGGAACATGGCATCCAACCGGATGGACAGATGCCTTCTGACAAATCAGTGGGTTGCGGGGATGACAGCTTCAATACGTTCTTTAGCGAAACTGGCGCCGGTAAACACGTGCCTAGAGCCGTGTTCGTCGATCTAGAACCTACTGTCGTGGGTAAGTTTAACCATTCATCCATTTCAGCACGTATGTATTCAAGACATGAAAGAGTTGGTTGAAATATATTAATGTTACATTTTTAGGGCACAACATTATTTGTGTCGTTTAATCACGGTAATGTTTTATTTTAAGTTTTTACTTTAAATTTAAAAATCCTATGACAAATATCTAGATGTACATTAAAAAACTTACTCGTTGTATATTATCAGAGCCGTGTCAAAAATTTCAGCGCCCCAGGGCAAAATTTTTTCTTCGGAGCCACTGGGTGCAGGTAGCATATTAAATGCAGATAAGGGCGCCCTCTTACTTTTACAAAACTACGGCGCCCGTGAGCAGTGGCGCACACAGGGAGGGTCAGGGGCGTCGTCTGACACCTCTCAAAGAATTGGTGGATGGCTAGTTCTGTGTGAACTTGTATGAATATTTGTTTAATTTAATACTAACCCATATTTCAGCTAACCAAATCAACATACTAATTATGTTTACCCAAGAACTAAATCGCCACATGAGAATAAGTAGTAGGGCTCAATCCCAAAAATTATACTATACAAACTTATAAATTAATACCCAGAAAATTGAAAAATAATTAATATTAGTTTTATTTTAAAAATTATTATTTTTAGTATCTTTGTTAGTAAGAAAAAAACCAAAAACACTTAAAAATAAGAGTTATACTATGCCTAAACTCAGATTTTACTGGTGGGGGTGGGTGGGTACCTCGAAATATATATTTTCGACACCCTTGACAAAAATCTTCTGTGCGCCACTGCCCGGGAGTAATTGCCCCCTTTGACCCCCCCCCCCCCCTTAACACAGTAACTGTAACAACAATAACTGATAGAAAATATATTTAAATTTTTAAAATAATAAAAAATGTTTTTTTATTATTTGCTTGACATAAAATAGGCATTTAATCATATTCCTAATCATTTAATTACATGACTAGGCATTTAACTTTATTTGATAAGACTATATACCTACCTACGACATATACACCATTTGATATTATTTTGGACGGATTCGAAATATTGAATCGAAAATTTTTTTTGCTCAAATCATTTGATGTGATAGTTATTTTAAAATATTTTTAAACATAAAATTATTCGTTTAATAGTGTTATCCAAAAATAGAATTAATTCTAACTTATAAGCTCAATTATCTCCACAGGCGATTCTAATCATTGAAATAGCTGCTGGTTTCATAAGTTCCTATCCAATGTTATGCTCTTTTTTTTAGTGTACGATTTTCCAATCTACGTCAAATAATGTGTTGGTAAATTTTTTAATAAAAAAACAGTAAGTGTATTGGATGGACAGTCAAGCCGCATTTTATTTTATATTGTTTTTCTTTACAAAGACAATGATTTATTAACCAATATGGGATAAACAGTGTCAAGATGTTTTTTGAGTTTATTAATTTTCATTGATTCGTTTGATAAAACTTTCAAATAGTAAACACATTGAGGCAGTGGCGTAACTTGGAGTTAATCCTGGGGGGGGCAAGCAGTAGTAAAACTAAAAACATGGTACCATGGGCCTTTAAACTTATAAATGGTAAAAATAAACACGATAATAATCTTAGTTCGCATTGTGCTATTGTGGTAGTAACTAATAACCCGCCATGCTATCACTGTCATCTTTCTACAATTCCTCGTATTACGATATGAAGGCACTCTATTTATAATGATACTATTAATAAATAATTAACTGAGGCACTCAAAAAGTCAAAACAATAAATCTATTATTATTAATTATTATATAATCCAGTATGCTGTTTAATATTTCCATGATAAAATAGAAATTGAATTATAAGTTATAACTTTTAAAGGGGGGCAAAACGATACTATTGCCCCCTCAATAAAATATCTGGAGGGGCAGTTTCCCCCTCTTACTAACCCCCCCCCCCCAGATTACGCCTATGCATTAAGGACGCACTATACCTGAACGATCTATAGTACTCGTAAAACCAAACTTCAAAAATTCGTCTTTCGATCAAATTCGTGTAGACCGTTGTTTTTCAAAACTAAAAATAATAAAAAGCTATTTACGGTCTACAATGACACAAGACCACAGTTCAATTTAAGTGGTCTTATCAATCGAAGCTGAAGTAACTGCTTCATTAGACTTTGAAAAAATTATCAATGATTTTGATACTTCCTAATCAAGAAAAAAAGTTTTACATTTTTTAGTTTATTAGTTTTTCCTTTATATTAATTTAAATTTCATACATTATAATATAATATTATGTATGAAATTTATATTTCTTATAATGTATATATAATGTACTATGATTTATATTGTACAGAAATCGTCAACGAAGTCTTAATAGTCACTTATAAATTATAATAAAAATGAAAACAGATTTCAAATCCTCAGTCTAGAGAAAAGATCTATATTGTATAACAATAGAAAAAAAATGGTTGATAATGATAGAAAGTACAGAGCCGAGAAGCTTAAATGTTTTTAAATTACCTCATATTGCTTAAGCGAAAACAAATTAAAACTATAGACATCATACGGTTTTAAAACGATATATATATATGCTCTCATTACGCAATAGTTATTAACAAAATTTAAAAGATTACGATTTTGAAAACGTCACTTGTGTCAATGAGTTGCATCTGATGATGTATCGATGTCCTCGCTGGGCCGGTAATCTGTTTTTCGGACTATTCCGAACTCACTTTGATATGGTCTGCGGATGTAATAGGGAAAATGAACAGCAAAACGACGACAACACATTATTGTTAAACTTATTGCAGACGAAGTGCGGACCGGCACGTACAGACAACTGTTTCACCCAGAACAATTGGTCACGGGCAAAGAGGACGCAGCTAACAATTACGCGCGTGGTCACTACACCATCGGCAAAGAGATCGTCGACCTGGTGCTAGACAGGATCAGAAAGCTCGCGGACCAGTGCACCGGGCTCCAAGGATTTTTGATATTCCACTCGTTCGGTGGCGGCACCGGTTCCGGTTTCGCTTCGCTGCTCATGGAACGGTTGACCGCGGACTACGGGAAAAAAAGCAAACTGCAGTTCGCCGTTTACCCGGCGCCCCAGGTGAGAAGAAAAAATATTTTGGCACTCGTGGGATTGCAGCACCGTCAGTCCGTTCCTGGCCCGAGACATAAGTGCGACCAGTACTGGTTTCGCAGTGACTACCGTTAAGCCTGACCCCGCTAGCCGTCGACGCATCATAACTTTCAATTATAATTCGTTGTCAACTATATTTCCTACGTACGTCCGAATAATATTGCACGAGTGCACGAATCGATTTACATACAACGCAAGGCTTTATTGATTACGATCTACGAACCTTGCGTACGACGTACATTCCAAGCTATGCTTGGATAACGGTAACGGACGATTCGATACTACAAATAACCATATAGCTGTCGAGTTAGTCGAGAAACGGATAAGATGACTGATCACCGTCTCGATTCGCATAGATAGGAGGTAAAAACAAAGTTTGGGGGGGGGAGCTCAGCCATAGACGTGGGCAATACATGTATTTTGTTGCATGCTGTCAGTTCAACCGTTGAAGAATGGATGTGATAGGATAAATTTATTAAATCACTAGACTTTGAATACTTACTATTTATCAACAAATTATTCTAAGTTCAAAAATATTTATTAACTGAAATCATTTTTAAGTACAATAAATCATTAATCTATCTAGCGTGAAGGTGCTTGCTGAACTTGGACTAAAACATATATAAATATTGGTCTGTTCGGGACTGTCTTAAAAACCCCATTTCTCATAGTTGACCCGGACCTAGTGAATGCTAATCCATTCGTCTTATACGATTCACCTTGGCATTTTAGATTGATGCTACTTGTATTATGTGCGCCTAATCCTAGTTTACCTATGTAATCAGTTGGCCTCGTGAATTCCGCATTTTGCATACATCATACTCATGCCTTTATATAGTAGTTGTTTTTAATATTTATTATGTACTATTTGTCTTCTCTACAATATAACTCGTAAGGATCTACATCTCCGTAACAATATATCATACTGATACCTTTCTATAATAGTTGTTTTTAATACTACACTTTGGAATGTAGCCATACAATTCATATATAATATATTATATATGAACTATATGGCTATATGGCATATATATGTGTTTGTGTTACCCTCTGATTTAAATCAATAATTTCTTTCTATTGTTATATTATTTATAATCATTTCCCGATTTCAATTATTTATGATTAATATGATCCCTCCTATTTAGTAAGAGTCATAAGGACCTAAATCTATCTATGTCCGTAACAAATTTCAGCGGTTGCCTATACAATACTTTTGGGCCCTGTATCAACAAAACGGGTAGGTATAACGTATAAATAATTGAATAAACATGGTGATAAACATTAATTTTGTATTTGATATTGTAGTGCATTAGTGCCAATAAGTATATATTTCTTGAATGTCGTTTATTTTTCTCAGATGGCTTCAATTGTTTATGATTTGTACTCTTGTAGTCAAACCGTTGTGTATTATCATAAGAAAAACATTTAAAACGCATTATGTTTTATTTTTTCTATTACGAAACATTGTTTATTTTTACCAAATATTTTAGAATAAATTTAAAAATTTAATTTAATTTGAGTAACTTCAGTTAAAATATAGGCCCCTTACTCTTAGACTTAAATTTGTAGGGCTCCATTCACAGTATTTTGGGGGGTGTCCGGGAACACTTAGCACGATATGGGTAACCGAACGATATGATGGTTGAAAAACTTATAACGAAACATAACATCATCAACAAAAATTGGGTCTTTATCGAACGGTAAAAAACGTGAACAGCATAGATAAGAAGTGCTGACGATTTATTTACTTTTGATTTTAAGCGAACGGAAATATGTAACAGACTAACTCACCCCTAAACTTATTCCACGCGCAGGTGTCCACGGCGGTGGTGGAGCCGTACAACTCGATCCTGACCACGCACACGACTCTGGAGAACTCGGACTGCGCGTTCATGGTGGACAACGAGGCGATCTACGACATATGCCGTCGGAACCTGGACATAGAGCGGCCCACGTACACGAACCTGAACCGGCTGATGGCGCAGATCGTGTCGTCCATCACGGCATCACTGCGGTTCGACGGCGCGCTGAACGTTGACCTGACCGAATTCCAAACGAACCTGGTGCCGTTCCCGCGGATCCACTTCCCGTTGGCCACGTACGCGCCGGTCATATCCGCGGAGAAGGCGTACCACGAGCAGCTGTCCGTGGCCGAGATCACGAATGCGTGCTTCGAACCGGCCAACCAAATGGTCAAGTGCGACCCGCGGCATGGCAAGTACATGGCGTGCTGTATGCTGTACCGCGGCGACGTGGTGCCCAAGGACGTGAACGCCGCGATCGCCACCATCAAGACGAAGCGCACCATCGTCTTCGTCGACTGGTGCCCGACCGGGTTCAAGGTGGGCATCAACTACCAGCCGCCCACCGTGGTGCCGGGTGGCGACCTGGCCAAGGTGCAGCGAGCCGTGTGCATGCTGTCCAACACGACGGCCATAGCCGAAGCGTGGGCTCGGCTCGACCACAAGTTCGACCTGATGTACTCGAAACGCGCGTTCGTCCACTGGTACGTGGGCGAGGGAATGGAAGAGGGCGAGTTCTCGGAGGCGCGCGAGGACCTGGCTGCCCTGGAGAAGGACTACGAGGAGGTGGGCGTGGAGATCAACGTGGAGGAGGGCGAGGGCGAGGGCGACGCATAACCGCCGCGCCGTTCTCATGCATTCGCGTACTGTTAAGACGAACTTACCAGTCCCGACGCATCGTATCGTGATCAACGAGTACCGAATGCATGCATCCGTTGCTGTAATATCTATATATTTATACATACGTAATACACGTTCAATCACTCTTTACCCAGATTGTGTTCGTTTTTTTCTTATTCATTATTGTACCACGATCAAAGGGTATGGCTGGGGCGTATACAAAAGGGGAGGGGTACAGATCCTCCCTTAGGCCTTTTTTTTTTTTTAAATTTTAAAACAGTCTTCTTAACATAATAAAAATATAATATGCAACCATAAATAAAAACCAAGACCATGAAAAACTTAACAGACAGAAAGTAAATCTCATGACGTATTGCATGAGCGACCAGCTGATTCGCCGTAAGTTAGCTAAATCCGGTATTGAAACCGTAGGTGCTCAAGATTTATGTAAAATTATAAAAAAATACACACTAGTCGGTGTAGTACAGCACCAATTTTGCACACAACATTGAGCCGAAACTCTTAAAAGATTAAAAAATTATAATTTAATAAATAATCGGGAAGAATTTTTTTTATTTAGCACAGAATCAAATTTTATTGGATTTTCATGAGATAGTGATTTGGAAGTACACATTACATTAAACGAAAACCGAGTTTATTGACAGTACTTTCAAGAGTTGTCTCAAGCTTTTTTACCATATTTTTCAATTCACTTTGTAAAAAAAAACTACTATGCCCTTCTGGTTTTCTTTTTACTTTCAAATGAAACTAGTGATACGTTTACAAAAGCTTTTTTTTTTTTTTTTTATTATTTTTGATTCAAAAGTATTAAAATCCGAATAAAATACATGTGGACTTTGAAAGAGCCATTTACGTAGCGATCTCTGAAGTATATCCTTTAGCTTAATTAAAAGTTTGTCGATTTCACTTTCAGCCAAGCATGGTTGAGAAATATATAAAAATTAGGGTATTTAAAAGAATTCAAAAGTAACGATCCTGAAATAGGAAGAACATTAAAATAGTTTTTTAGTTTATACTTATTATTGCCCGAAGAAGTGAACGACTGCTATACTTACTAATGTTTAGATGACATTAAAACTGATTTATGAAAAGCTTAAAGTATTTCTTGATTATATAGTAGAAAATTATTATACCGAAAAAGTTAACTCATATCCTCCAACAATGAAGACTGAACATAAAATTAGTACCTATAGAACGAACAACTGATTTCTGTGAATCGTTTCACAGCAAATTCAACCGTCGTTTCTATTCCGCACATCCAAACATCTTTCAGTTCTTCGATTTATTAAAATAAGTTCATCTTGAAACATATAAAATTGCAAAATACAATCAAGTTACAGAATTTTAAATCTATAAATAAGGAAATATTTATAAAAACAGAATTGAACAAATATAAAAACAATGAAATACACAGAATAGAACTTATTCAAAATATCTGCTATACATTATTACCTCAGTTATACATAGTATTTACATGCTTATACAAAAAAAAAAAAAAAAAAAATATTCGATTAAAAATAAAAATAACATGTTTTATGTAAAAAAAAAATAATTTTTAACCATACCTGCAAAATATGTAAACGTACTTAGATCAGGTTTGTATAAAATGGAAAAGGAATTTAAAAATGCTTTGACCCGGGAACCAATTCGTATATACCCGTGTTTTCAGTATACATTTATATCGAGAATACACTTTGAACAGTTTTATAAAAATAAATAAAAATATTAGGTACTTGCCTATAATAACTATTAACGACCTGTGGGTTTTTCATTGGATTTGCGTAAAAAGTGTGAAAAACGTAAAATGTTTAATTTAATTGTTTTCTATATACCATGAATCTCTTTCTAATGCGTTGCAAATTCAATCTGTTTCAATATATTTTTATCTCCAAAATATCACCAGACGCCAAGCAACGAAATATCTTCGAAACCTATCACCATCGTACGCGATGATCCAAAGCCGTAACTAGGGTGAGGCGAGCAAGGCACTGGCCTTGAGTGCCTGAAGCTGAGAGGCACAAAAATATTAAATGATTCACTTATTTTAAGAAATGCTATTTCTTGTTTTGCTAAAAACCTATTTACAATTTTTCAAATTTTTCCGAATCGTATTATACATATTAAAAGTTGTGAGTATGACAACCCTACAATCCAAGGAGCGCATTGCTTCAATTTTGCCTCAAGATAAAAAATGGCTTGGTATGGCTCTGCGATGATCCATTCCATGCACCACTTTATAAATAGGTTCTATACCAGTATCCACGAGAGAAAGATACCGTTTCACGCAAGTAGTCGCATAATCACGGTATCGGTCAGCGGCTGGTGTACCAGTTCTCTCGTGGAAACGTGTCCATGGTCCACGACGCGAAAACTAGCCGTCGACCACCCCCATTAGCCATAGTTTCCCGAACTTGCACCCAATGACGTATACATAACTTTTTTATGGGAGAGAGGGGTCATTTGCAAACGAATCATTATTTTTATTTTAAAATTCTTTTTTTTTTTTTGCGATTCTAACGCCCTTCTCGCACTGAGAACATTATTTTACAACATTATCCATCTATAACTGGTACCTATTTAGTTTCAGCAGGACAACTGGATTGTATTATGGATGGATCGTAACACGTGTATGAAGTACCTATACGGTTATTGATTTTATACATTATGCTACAGACATCTGTAACAAACATAGTGTGTTGCATCTACGTTTTTGAAATAGGTTCCCTGAATATTTGTGTATTTTCTCTTGTGCTTGAATTAATTTGTGTTCTCGGATGTATTAAAAATGACTTTTAACAATAGTGATACCCGCAGCCAGAGTAAACAAATTGTTTATAATGTTTATATATTTTTAAAACAACTGTTATCAAAATTGGACGAAACTGTCGATTTTTTCTCAAAAATGCTCAAATATGTACCGCTAAAGCTTGAGGGTTGTCAGAACACACCGTCAGACTTATTTTCTCTGAAGCAAAACATTCAAAAGATGAATCTGATGAATCAAAATTAGTAATGACATTCAAGTATCCACGCAAAAGCTACAAATATGCGAAAATTGTATCAGACCTTGAAGATTTTGATTCAGATGTCGTTAGGAGAACTGTGCACGAGTTCAACGATCGTGGTGAATACCCAACTGCGAATTTGATATTACATACTTTAAAACAGAAATTAAATTATTCTGGAAGCTTACGTTCTAGGCTGTTGAAAAATGAAATTTTTTTATAAAAAGTGTAATACGAGGAGTGACAATTAAATAACGAGAATTTTAAATTTTAAAACATTTATTTAATATTTACAACGATTTATGCATCCAAACCTTCACAGTACTCTCTTCCGAGTCTAACGCATTTGATCTAATATTCTTCCCATTTCTGGAAACACTCCTGGAAGTCTTCGGAAGTTAGGTTCTTCAATGTCGACGTTACGGCACGTTTAATGTTCTCCAAATCTTTATAGCCATATCCTTTCATTGATTCTTTCAACTTTGAAAATAGCCAGAAATCCAGTGGAGACAGATAAGTGCTATACGGCGGGTGGGAGAACGTTGTTAAGTTCCAACTGGTTAAAAACTATTGAACTTTTAATGATGTATGCGCATTATGAGCAGGCGCATTGTCATAGTGAAGGACTCAACCATTTTTGGCTAATTCCGGCCTCACACGAGACACTTTTTGACACAATCGAACTTCAATATAAAATACTGAAGTCACCGTTTGTCCTTGACAGTGGCGTAGCCAGGAACTTTTTATGTGGGAGGGGGAGGTTCAGAAAATTTATAACATATATATTTAATCTTATCACTATAATTTTGACTGCTATTTGTATTGATCTCGGCATTTTTAATTCTGGTTGACATTAGTTTTTTTAACTCGGGTAAAAAAAAAGAATACATTTTTCTAGTCTGCTTATTTGTTAGAGAATTTGCCTATAATAAATAATAATAACAATTTAGGAACTAGGAACTAACATAGGAACATAAATATTAGATTTTCTGTCCAATCACTTAAGTATACTAAAAATTAAATTTAAAAAATCTTACCATAATGGAATGTTTAGACATCTTAGAATGATGTCAAATTAAAATAAAACGAATATAATGGAATACAAATGTCAAATATAGACGAATAAACGAGTAGTAAGTAAAACAGTGAGACACCAACAGGCAACGACTAACTATTAACTAATAACTATTAGTTTTACACAAAACGTGCTTGTGTTAAATGATCGGCGAGCCGCGAATACAATAATTATACCCAAAATAAATTTTAAATACAGACAAGATATCGCTTTTATCTCAGTTATCGGGACCAGACGACCGATTTAGAATCAACTGTTGTAGAAAACCTAAATAATATGTACCCAATCAAAAATTATTAAAGTAAAGATAAAATATCTAAATATGATCATAATACTATGACTTATGTGTATGTGTATGTGTGTGGGCAATATGTGTTTAATATGTTTATAGTGTTCATACAAACTATTAATATGATTTCCTAGTCAAAATTCTAAAATATAAAAATTTTAAAGAAAAAACCGTGTTTCATGTGAAAATTAATTTATAATTTACCATCTCAGGTTCGTGAGAGGGTTCTGACTCCCAAACCCGCCCATGAATACGCCACTGGTCTAAGAAGAAGAAATTCAGCATCAACATTTTCAAACTTTGAAATTTTGCCTAGTGTGCACGATTTTAGGGGCACCTGACCTTGCATCGTCTTGCGTTGATTCTCGGCCTGATGCAAAACGTTTGGCCCATTCGTACATCCGTGGTTTTGATAAACAGTCATTACCGAACACACGTTACAGTTTACGAAAAATTTCGGCCGGTTTTTCGCCAGATTTCACTAGAAACTTGATGACGATTCGTTGCTAGTTTTTCATGTCACACTTTTTTATATGTCATGACACTACACTACTAACTTTGAAAAATCGCAGAGCACAAAATATTACACCGATCACTATCCTTAGGGTCGTCTTAATGAAACCAGTAGTTTTGTCCATATTGCCCGATGATAGCGATCGCAGTGATAATGAAGAATCAGATATAGAGCAATTCGAAAAATTAATATTGATTAGGATTTATTTTGATTTTATGCATATACTCGTATATATATTCGTAAAATATTTTGTTAAACATTATTGACAATAGTTAATAAATATATAATATTAGGTATCTACAGATATCAAAGTTATTTTTTTTTTTTTTTTTGACTGATTTCCAATTATTATAACTCCAGGCAAAAACTATTGTTTTTTTAGTTTTAATTTTCATTTATTTTAATATTATAAGAAATATTTAATTGATTGTTAAGTTTGTTGTACTACATGCAGTGGCGTACATTCGATCTTGCTCGGGGAGGGGGGTGTTAATTAAAATAATCGTTATCTTTTTTTTTTCGTTGCACAGATAAATAAGATAAATAACTGCTATAAATAGATATTTTATACAACTTTTTTCCCAATTTATAGTTTACTTTTACAATACAGTAAATTAATAGCTATTGGAATATAAAAACAGAATAGTTAACAAAACTTTTCAAATACCTATCAATATAATTATTTAATTATCATAATATTTGTATAGTTGTATATTTTAAGTTCTAAGCGTACTAATGAAACTACAAATATACTACATGTCATCAATAATAAAACAATTTTCTTTTTTTTTCGGCCCTGGGGGGGAGTATTTGAATCCGGAAACCGCTCCCATATGTACGCCTCTGACTACATGTAATTATTTTTAAAAAACACAAATTTAAATAATTTAAATAAAGTAAAATAATTATATATGTTATTATTTATATTTAAATTGTACATAAAAAATGTAATATGTTATACATAATTCACAAATAAGAACAGAAAAATGTATAAATCCTTTGTTCTGGATATACAAGTACTTTTATTAGTCAAAATTGTTACTTGAAAACTATGTATTTAAGAAAATGATGCAAGGAAAACAATATTTTTTTTTTAATTTTGAACCTATTATAAACATTGGAAGACTGTTACATCTAAAAATACATAAACTACTATTCTTCAATGAATAATTAAGAAAAATTAAAAAACAAATTTCGTGTCTTATATAATTTTATTGGTATGACTATTAATAGTTAAATTATGTCTTGTTACATATAATGTATAAATATTCAATAAGTATAAGAAAAAAATATTGTTAAAAAAAAAAGATTATACAGCGAATAATAATAAGTATAATCAGAACCCAAATTCTTCAATTTTGATTTATCAAAGTCATTAAATAGGAATTATTAACACCCAATGAAATGAGGTTATCATAAATATGTGCTGGGTAGGATAAGATATGAATGATATGAACAACTGGGTCATTGCTTCATTGCTGAAATACTTATCCATAGTTAATTTGACATTGGTAGTTAATAATAATAATGCAATTCAGATGTTTTGGCCTACACTTTAAATTCACAATAAAAGATACTTTTTAGAAAGCAAATATTACAGTAATAATATTATTATTATAAATATTAACATTAAAATTAATTTTAAATTTTAAAAAATTAACATTACGAATAATCATAAAAGAAAATTTCAATAAAATTATTAAAAAAAAATTATAAATGCTTAGAATTTTTTAAAAGAACCTTTTTAAAACTAGTAAAGTGATTGTTTAATACCACTGTTTGTTGAATAGAAAGATACTTGTTCAATCTTTCAACAATACTATCCAAGTTCGGAAGATTCTTGCATGATTCTATATTCAATAATGTTTTCAATATATCGCCCCACATAGTCTTGTCTATATATCTATAATATATAATTGTATTTAATTAAAATCAATGAAAATAACAATAAATATAATCACAATTTAGTTAAAAATAAAAATAAAAACAACAATAACAACAAAATGATCAGTAGAATAACTGATAAGTTTCACTTAACAATATTTTATCATGTAAAAGTAACATCATCGACTATCAAAACTTATTTTAGTTAACCAATATTGTTATAAATGGTTTTTACTGTATTATGCAAGGCTGTAAATCCCAAATTAATTCTTTTCGATTCAATTATTTTAACAGTTATTATTATACAAACTACTGCACTTATTTTGTCACACAGCAATACTCAATAGGTATTTTCTTTGTTAAGATTACGATTTATTATAGAAAATATATTAAATTAGAGACTTCTAGTTCTTATTTTATACCTAGATTAAAATAAATTATATTTTAACAATAATTTATAAATGTATAACTAATATAACAATATGATTCATAATAATTCATATTATTAACTTACAAGTGTACAATTATATTCCACTCTAAATTAATCCTTTTATTTATATTTAATATCCGAAAATGTATAGTTTAAATTCAATGAAACAAAATAATATATATACATAATTGATTTATATATAAAAAAAGCTTAATTTTTTTTTTTTTACTTCTATGTACAATTAACTTGAAGTTTACAAGTTATATACATTAAAAAGTAAATCATTGAATTAAAAATTAGCACCAAAATAAAGTAACAAAAAATTAATTTATTTTATATTAACTTAATTTTAATTTTTAATTCATAATGCCAAGCCTTGAATACATTAAATTAAAATAAAAAATGTAAATAGTAAAATGGATTTTCTTACTGGGCAACCTCCCCTTATGCTATTGTTATTGTCATTTGTTTGAAATTATAATAGGTCACACTAAACAGGTTCTAAACCGAAATAAAAAATTAAAATAAAACTTCTCTTTAAATTATACATGTTCTTTTTATAATTATTAAGTTATATATACAAAAAATATATATAGTAAATATTTAATTATAATTATGATTAATAACAAAAGTTAATTGAATTACTAATGTTTAAAGCTATTCTTCATCATCAGACAAAATAATTAAACTATTAAATTTTGACTTAAGAGTGTATATATAAATGTAAAATTTGCTACATCAACCTCACTGTTATTATCAGACATCAATTATCACTATGGTGCACAAAGGTCAGTGGTAAAATATAAATAGTATCTAATTCATTTTTTAGTATTTTATTATGGTGGAACTACTGTTCTTAGTATCTGGTGCACTTAGTACAGTAATTCCACCATAATAATAACTACCCAATAATAATTCGCAAAAGAATATTCTCTTATCGCATCACTAGATCCAACATTATAATGTAATTATTTAATAGATCACATTAGCTAATTAAACTTATTTTGTTATAGAATGTACATTTTCATATTTAAAATATTATAATAATAAAATAATATAAGATAATAGATTAATATTAATTACAACATACCACTACCATAAGTTATTAAATAAATATAACACACTAAAGTATAATTGTATAACATGGTTACCTTGGAAGTGCTTTAAGGATAACCCATTCTTTGTGTATTTTATGGGTCTTCATATAGTCAGCTTTGAGAATCATGTAAATTATTCCAGCTAATCCATAGTAATCAGTCTAAAATAAAAAATTGGTAAACTTAGTAAACTGGTGGAAAGGAAAAACAAGGAAACTACCTGATAAGTCCAAGGTAATTTTTCTCTCATTTCATGGCAAACAAAATCTACAGTTTTAACAGCATATGTAAAACTAGTGTCAGGAGGAAACAATGTCATGTCAATACTACGACCAAAATCGATTAATTGTACACAAGGTAGAAATGATTGATTTGGCCTTAATGAAAAAAATAAAATAATAATAAATTGATTAAATTAGTCTAAACCTTAAAAATCTGACTTACAATGATTTTAAAATAACATTGTCTGGTTTTAAATCTCCATGGATGATTTGACATTGGTGTAAGTATTTAACAGCTGATGTAATTTGTGAAACCAATAAAGCAGCTATTGGGACAGGGATGGATTGATTCTAAAATGCAAAAGTATTTTTATTATATAAAACCTAACAATATATGAAAAATTTATACATGATATAGATACATTAATATTTAATGACTTACAAATGCCGCTTTATGAGCTAGAACAACTGATAATATTGTTCCATATATAGAAAATTCCATAGAAATTATTGACCCATTTTTGAAAAGGTACATATTGTCCATATTTATAAAATAACATATCTAAAAAAAATTATAACAATTACTTTATATGAATATCAAACTATAATTTTTTTACTTTTTCAGAATCCTTAAGACGGTGTTGAATTTCTTTACTTATATACCATTCCCATGTACAAGAAGGTTTTTGAATTTTAAGCGCTCTTTGTTCAGAATTTTTGTCAGCTGTTCGAGTTCTTACCACTCGAGCATATGATCCTTTACCAATTTCACCAAGGAACAACATTTTACTATCACCTATGCAAAACATTATATTAATAATAAAATAATATTTCTAACTACAATTGAAATGACAGTATATAAATTAAAAACTATACCTAATTTGAATTCAGATCGCATACATGGCATATCTGATTTATATTCCCTATACCCAGATAAATGACGCTCATTAGGAAATTTAATAACTTTCCGTAATAATTTCGTTATTAATTCATCATCAAATGGATTGATGGAGTCCCCTGAAAAAATAAATAACATTCATTAAAAACAGGTATTACTAATTTCATAATTATATTCTAATATAAAATAAATAAATAAATCATTTTCTTCTTCTTCACCTTTCTCCCAACTATTTGGGATCGGTCACCCTTGTTCAAAATCTCCACTCGTCTCGATTTCTTACATTCTCTACGCGCAAATACAACAACGGCCCTCATATATAAAAATAAAGCTTCTCTTAAATGAAATAAATATTTTTTTTTTTTTTTTAATACAATGACGTTACGCGTTTTTTTTCAATTGCTCATTATTTATTGAATAATGTGAGTAGAAACGTATAACCTATACCATTATTCTTTAAATTGAACATTCTTTTAAATAAAAAAAAAAAAACATATTTTTTGTGTTATGTGCTCCTTTAATTATAAAACAATAATTTATAATTTAATCCTAATGATTGAGTGCATATTTACTTAATAATAAATATTCAAAATTAATTATATATTTAGTATACTATATATACTAATACAGTTAACTCGCTTAAGATGATTTCCCGCATAAAACGCTGTTTTCCGTCGATCCCTAGACATTTCCTATACTAGTCAATGTAAAAACTACTTGTTAAGACGCTTGTTTAGTTTTTCTCTAATCGAATTAGACGCTCTTTTGTTCGGTAAATAACAATAAAATTCAGTAATTAAGTGAAAACATAAATATAAATTTTACTCGTTTACATGCACTTCGTATTGATCAGTTTATTTTATCATACTACAGTATCATAACAAGCAGTTACGTATTTCATCATATTATGATGTTTACGACAATAAAGAAGAATGTTCCAGGGAAAATACAGAATTGATTCTTAAAATTACTGCTGATTAGCAATACTTATCATAAATTCGAAAAGTATTGTTCCTTGTAAAAAATGCCGAAGAAATGTCGGGTTATATAAATAAAATCGAAAACATTCTTGCTGAAACACATTTTCAGAATCTTAAGCAAACAAAAATAAATAATTTTATTAATATATAATAAAATAGAATAAATAATAATAATAAATATGTACATCGATAAAAACTCAATAGCAAAAATATATGTGGTTATAATTCATAAATATGTTACCTATTTAATAGTAAAAATTTCTGTATAAGACGCTCTAGTAAGATGGTTCCTTAAAGTGCATCTTAAGTGGGTTTTCATGTATATAATATAATATTGTATAATAATGTATAATATATAGTTAATATAATAATAATAATAATAATAATATTATACTATAAATATATTTATATAAAAATCAATATCAATATTTCTATATAAAAATGTTTTGTTATGGATTCATTTATTGCACATATACAATCGATCAATCGAGACGGCTGCGACGGACATACTTTCAATAAATAACATGATATGTATCTACGATTAGTTCGATCAGTTTTCATATCGAATATCAATAATAAGCTGGTAAATACATAACACTTATAAAACAATTTATAGATTTATCACGGCACATTTAAAGGGCGCTCACGGAAAACCGGTTGGGAATCACTGTAATAAATATTAATTTAAAATTAATACTTTACCAAAATCAATTGTAGAAGGGTGTTCCAGTTTTGATATAATTCCTGATGAAGAACTACTATTTCGTTCTTTGGATGCTTCTAATATCATACTCAAACTTTTCCCTGATTTAAATTCTTCATTTTCATCATTTTCTTTTTCTTCAACTAATCTATAAGAATTATAATAAAATATTATAATCAACCTAATATATATAAACAATATTTTCTTCTACAGTATTAAAAAAATAAAAACAACAATAAATTCTATAATACATACATGAGTGGTTGTTTTTTATTTTCAGGAACACAACTAGGTTTTGTTCTTCCAGGAGCTAATGGTGTTGAACTGGTCAAAATAAATGCAAATGCTTTAGTTGAACAAGTCATATCATCATTAACATCCTAAAAATTACACACATTATTCTATTAAAAACGTAAGTAAGCACGCATACACATATCCTATGAGCTATAAATAATTAAACAACAATTATAAAATCTTTAATTGTTCCTTTTGAAAATTCGTATTATACTAATTAAAAGTATCAATATTATGTAAAACATATGACAAAGTTTATAAAAATTACATTTAAGTTACAAAATCTTTAATAAAATGTATATTATATCCAGCAAAATAGTAAATGTATTGATAATAATTTTTTAATTTAAGTATTAACCAAAATTTATGAGCAGAAAATGTTAAAAACTAATAAAAAAAACCATCTTTTGAGAATAAAGCACATTTATATTAAAAATAAATTATTCATCTAAAACCATTTTCTTAAATATAAATTTCTATGAGACTTCAAATGTATGCTAGTTAAAGAAATACAGAACACATATGTATAAACATATTGTTAAATTACTTACATCTTGATTATTTTTTAAAGTTGACAAACTGTTGGACATGTTGTTAGTGATTTCTTTAATTTGATTCATTTTTATTTCATCATCATTTTCACTTTCATCTTCATAAACTTGATAATTTTGAGCTTTAATACATTGTTTATTTTTTTCATAATTTAAAATTTTTGATTTAGCAATATTGTTGCTGCCAGTATCTTTACTAACATGCATTATATCATTTTTTTTGGTATTTAATTTTTTTAACATTTTACTATTATTCATATTAACATCAGGTGTTTTAAAATTTTTAAATGAGTGTGCATTATTTTCATCATTATATACTTCTGGAAGTTTTACATTGTTTATTTGATTTTCATCATCATTATCAACATATACTTTTGGAATTTTTATATTTTTTAATTGATTTTCATCATTATCATCAACATATACTTCAGGAATTTTAATATTTTTTACTTGGTTTTCATCATCATCATCAATATATACTTCAGTAATTTTATTAGTTTTTACATGGTTTTCAATATTTTTATCAATATATACTTCTGGAATTCTTATATTTTTTATTTGGTTTTCATCATTATCATCAACATATACTTCAGGAATTTTAATATTTTTTACTTGATTTTGAACATTATTATCAACAAATGCATTTTGCTTATACATTTTTGCATTATCATCATCATCAGTATAAATATAAAAATCGTTTATAGTTTTTGCCTCTTTTGGAATTAATTTGTTTTCTTCATCTTTATCTATTAATAAAATAAATTAAAAATACATTTCACTTAAAATAAAATCTATAGTTTACCTGAACAAGGACTATTCCACATTTGCTGAACCAAATCAATTGCAGCTCTTGTGTTGACAGTAACAGATTGACTCAAAGGATCAGACTCTGTAAGTAATGGATGCGGAGCCTAAAAATATTTTAATTATTAAATTGAATTGATATAATCATATACTATATGCTGTTAAAATCATAATCAAGTCAAATTATATTAAGTTGTATAACATTGTTTTATTTTAAATGATGAGTTTGAACATTTCAACAATAAGTCAGTGAAAATGATGATGTCAGTCAACAATAAAAAGTAACACATCATATATTTGTACAATACGTTTTGATAAATAAAATAATTTTGTTTAATTTTAAAATAATAACAAAATTATATGAATATTTTACATGGGGCATATAAATATTTACATTAATTATTAAACATATATTTTTGGTAAGCATTTGCTACTTGAGTAAGCTAAAAAATATAACTAGTAGATAATTAATCTGTTTATTGTTATGTTACTAACAAATTTAATTACCTTAACATTATTTGCGTTTTTATTATCATCAGGTATAATTACTTTCTTCAAAGGTTTAATTGCATTTTCTTTTGTTGGTGATTTTATGACGCAATTAAATGAACATGCTCCTTTCTCTAAATTTAATATTTTGACACATTTGAGAACAACTCATATATTTTTAAATTTCCAGCTTAAATTGTTATACAAATAAATATACTAACGTTTATCTTTTTCTTGTTTGAGAAATACCTCGTACCTAATTTCTTCAAGCTGTACATCTCTCCCAGCAGCATAAACCTAAAAAATGTGTATGTTAAATCATAACAATAATATACATTTGTAATACCAACAGAATAATTAATATATTTTAGTTTGTAATTATATAAAAGAATTTGAAATATAGTTATCCTAATCAATGATGAACTACAGGACTATAGAAATAAAATATTACTGGAATCATGCAGTGGTAGTTGAATCGGATACACTATGTAAAACTGTATTAATATAAAGATTATAACTTTACAAATGGGTCATTCAAATGTAGATATCTTAGTGAGTCATGCACAAACACTTATACCACATTATCATATAACTTTTTTTTTTGTTAATTATAATCGGTTTCATGCATTTTGTAAGTTTAACTCTAAAATGTTTAGGCATTATTTAAAAAATAAATCATATACATTTATGAATAAATATTTTTTTATAAGCCATTAAGTTAGGTTAGCCGTTACCTTTTTTCTTCTGTTGTGCAAATATAATAATTTCAAAAAATAAAAATATAATTAGTTATAACAAATCTTATTATTACTAAAAATATTATTAATGTTCATTGAAAAAACTTACTTTATCTTTACAATACATGGGTTTTTTGGTAGGATCAGGAGGTTCAAATACTGCAACTGGACAGGAAATATTTGAACTTCCTTTGATACTACGTAAAGCATTTGGTACTGTAATACCAGGTAATTTGGTTACACGTTCCACATTGTTATCTTGATGCACTAAAACCATATAAACAATAGTAAATAAGAAATGATAATTCTATTTAATATTGTCTAAATCTTAAGTAAAATTTCAGTAAAGTATTTGTTCACTTTATAACTATCTAATTAAAAAAAAAAAAAAAATAAATAAATAAATAAACAAATCAATAATTTAACTCAAACCAATCACCTTTTATCATAAATAATTCATATTAAAAGTTTATCTTAAATATTGCATTCATCTAAAAAATTGAATACAGAAAATAAATGAATAAGAATTTAGTATGTATATGAAATAAAAAAAAAACTAGTACTGAGAGTCCAGAAGTATTAAATGAAATCCAGAGAACAATTAATTTTCATATAAATATTAATAACTAGTTATTATTAAAAGGTTTAATAAAAATTACAAAAATATTTATAAAGCAACTGATAATAAGATGTACCTATTGATATTATGTTTAATAATCTAGATTCAAATAATCAATAATTTATTTTTAATTTTATTAATCATAATAAAATTGTATGAAATTAAATTTATACTCATTGTTATGAAATTCCATGTAATATATTCAATTTATTGAAGTCCTCAACAAGTTTCACATAAATAAGTAATGTAATTTAATTGATTAAACTAGCTATGTCAAGATGCAAACAAATATGTTAATATGTTACAATTAAAATATAAATTTGATGCTTAATAATCATGACTTACCTTCAAAATTTATTGAAGACACGGGCTTAACAAATTTAGAACGGCTTTTTTTAGGTTTTGACCATGGTCCTGGTTTAACAGTATTTTCTTTGTTCAATCCATTTTGAGCAAGATCACAATTATTACCATCTATTCCAATCAATCCATTTTCATCATTGTCCTATATTTATAACACACAATAACAATTATATTAATTTTAATTTCAATATTTTACTTCTATAAAAAATATTAATACTTCGAAAATTCTAAGTGTAGATGATTTTCCATTAACATTATTAACTTGAGGTACTTTTCCAACTATACCACCTAAACCATGTCTAATGCCACTGCGTGTTTCTGATGATTTTAAAACACTGAATGCTTGTCTTTTTCCAAGTTCTGAATTTTTATCCTCATCATTTGATAACTGTCCATTTAGAAGTCGTCTAGCAACACTTAATTGAAATTGACTAAAAATAATTTTGAAACAATTAATATTTAAAATATTAAATATTTAAAATAAAATTACAGATGAGCTTGTTCTAATTCTTCAACAGGTTCAGCCTTAGCATTAATCCCCAGCAAAAATATTTGATCCACACGTTTGAAATCATTATATCGGTCCAATAAATCAGCCCATGCTCGATAAAATATTGCACACATTGTACCAATTCCTTGATTATAAACTGTCTGATATAACTCAATAGCATTTGTTTGATTTTCAATCTAAATTTAAGTTTTAAAATTACATTTATTTATTATATATTATGACATTAAATATAGGTGATATAAGTATCAATTATATGAAATAAAATATAATTACAAAATTGATTAAAATTTGAATAAATCTTGGATCTTGTTTGTATTTTGGATCATTTTTAAACCTTTGTACAGTTTCTTCAATTAGAGGCATTAAATTACTTTCAGGTCCATGTTTTAGATATATTTGTTCCAACCATTTGACATATTCAAAACGTGGAGCTAAGGGATCTTCACCTTCATATGTACGAATAGCATGTTCAAATTTTCTGCAAAAATAATACAAAAGTATTTTTATTATCATTAGTAAAAATAATATAAATTTTATTGCTATAAAAATATAAGAAATGTATTTGAGCATCAATTGATAATTTTATTTATCGATTAGATATTGTGTATGTTTACTAAATGCATAAATTATTTAAAAATATCAATTAGATTTACAATTTTTTTTAAATAAAATATGTATGAAATTCTATGAAGGGAAAAAAATATGGAATTTCATACATGTTAAAATTGTTAACTATTTTCTTCATAAATATAATTTAATTATAAATGTTCTACTTACTCTTTATCTTTATTCAACTGTTGTTGAATTTCTGAGTTAGATTGAGCTTGTAAAGCTGCTTCCAATTGTATTGGTTTTCTACCTTGTTTTAAAGGTCTAATATTTTCTTTGGTTAAATCCAAAGCATCAGAAGTATCTACTGTATTCATTTTAATCTAAACATAATAATACAACTTTGAATAAGTACATAGCAGGGGTCGGCAAGTAATTTACATTGGAATCCTAAAGTTTAAAATAATAAATCAATGAGGTCTAGAGAAAAAATTTTTTTTCAAATCTTCATATTTCAAAAATAGTAGCATAAAAATAAAAATAATTATTTGATTATTACAATTAATTTATATTGAAAATTACAATATTAGAAGTATGAAAATAAAAGTTGACAGGGTCCAGAGTATTACTTTCCGCGGTCCGGATCTGTACCGCGGTCCGCCAGTTTCCGACCCCTGGTATATATTGATTGCATAGATTGAGATGATATTTAAAATATATTAAAATTCAAAATCCAAATCGTTAAAAATATTTAAATATTTTAAAACAAAATGTATCTTTTAATTAAGTGAGTACATGCTACACTAGAATACATAATTTTGTTCTGGTAAATTATGTTAATGTCTAATTAATTAATTATGGCTTAATCACAAATATTTTCTAACTGTCCATTTAAGTCTATATCAATAATATTAAAGCTAGGTTAGATAATAATATTCTTGAATTAAATATTAGTAAATCTAAATATATTTTTTAATAAAAATAAATCAAAAATTCAAATACAGAATATCACATGGTTATTATACATGATTTTTAAATAATTTAGAAGTTTGTTATTATTATTTGAAAAAGTTATTAAATTAAAATATATAGGTATGTACAGGGACGCCCACAGAAATGTAGCTCAGGGGGGGCAAAAAAATTGTAAGTACCTAAATACTTATAGGAAGATTTACTGCTACATATTTCATCTACTCATATTTTGTATTACTATCATTAATAATTTTTTAAAAATCAAAACTCATTTAAGTTTATATAAAATTACATTATTAGTTATTAGTTTTAATATTTATAAGAAAAAATATAATAAAGTTTAAACAAATAACAACTTTATTTGATTGAATTCGCATCATATTTTATTATTTTATTCAAAAAATAATGACAATCTCCTTTTGTTTGAATCAAATAAATTAATTGAATCATCTTTTGTTGATTAAAAAAATGTTAGATACTTATTAGATACAAGGATTGTAGAATAGTCACTGAATACCCAAGATCAGCTTTATGTAAAATAACTTCCAATTTTGTAAGTGACGCGAAAATCTCAGGGGAGGCAATGGCCCCCACTGGCCCCCCCATCCGGGCGTCCCTGGGTATGTATTATACTTGAGTCTAGTTCTATTCACCGAAATCTGTTCATTTCACCAATGATGATCAAGATCATATTCGCCGATGTGTTTTTTTATTTTTTGTTTATGTATATCATTGACGTGAACCCGCACGGCAGCTGTTACCAAAACGGCCGTCGCCGACCGTACCCTTACCTCTCTCATTAACCACCAGTTCGCGGCACACGACGTCGCCGCGACACCTCGTCTTCCCATCCATCACCGGATAGGGGACGCGCGCGGTCGCGACAACGTTCGCAGGTACCACCATCTGAACATAGCTGTTTTTCCGAGATCGCGTACGGAGACACATCTCGTGGTCAATCTCAATCTCTTTTTTTTTTTTTTTATATACAACAATTGTTATACTTTGTGCACACTCATTTTTCTTTTATTATTAATATTATTAATTTCATTGTTCGCGTGTGTTGATTAATAATATCGTTTTATTATTATTTTTATTATAATATTTTCCACCACCGTGTTCACCGCACACACCACCATCACCCGTGTACCGCGTCAAAATGTCCAAGTAAAAATTATCCTATCAACAATTTTAAGGGTGGTTTTCGATAGCAAATGTTGTCTAGTGGATTCATTAGAAACTAGATAGGTAATATTTTCAATTAATCAACAGTTATTGCCATTGTAGCGTGCGATCTACCGCTTACATGTGCTCTATCCATTACTATACAGTTCTTTATCGGTAAAAAAGAAAGACGTACCTAACTATATGCTTCAATTACATTTAGATCTGTATTGTTGGAAGGTGTGGGAGAAAAGTGAACCAGATTTGTTCATTGCATTTTTTAGATTATATGCGTGCTACATTCATAAATAATGACTAAAACGAAACTTTTATTTTAAATATTTATTTAACGAAGCTTATATTATGTGGATGTGATTTTGAAATTGTGGTTTTTGAAATACGTGTGAGCCCACCTCCTCGTGGTGTATTTTGGGTAATGCTAAGCAACTCACAAATCGCGTTCACCAAAAACAGGCTGGTAGATCGCACTCTACACTAGAAACGAGCTGGTAGATCGCACACAACACTAGCACCTGACAGTTTTCCTAACAATTACGTAAACACCCAACTTCATCAAAATTTAATTTTCTAACGCTTATAACATATTTTGTGCTTCTCCGATAAACTTTTTTGACTCACTGGAAAGAGCAACATCCCTAGTATATTATATTACCTACATTTTCAAATCTTAAGTGTATATATTAAATTCATGGGTGTAGCGAGGGTGTGGCAGAGAGAGGGGCACTTGCCCACCTCTGTGCCTCAAACAGAATTATTTTTGTTTATACCAAACGTGTAAGTTTTACATTAAAATCTTAAATTAAATAAGATATGTCTAAAAATAATTTAGTGGGACCGAGTGTTATCACAAATGTAATCGTTTTGACGTTTTATGTGTTATCCAATGGTCTATCTGTAAATTATTTGAATAACGAGTTTAACACTAATCGCTTTGTTTTTGCCCCCCCCCCCTAATACAAATCTTAGCTACGCTAATGATTAAATTGTTTATCAACTTTTAGTTACTAAAAATAGGCAAATTTCGTGATTTTTATCAACATTTTAAATTCAAACGCTTATTTTTTAAAATAGTGACATCAGATTTTTGATATTTTTTTACACGAGTAAGAATAATGTAAGAGGAACATTGTACCAAAAGTTCAAAATTTTGTAGCTAACCAACATTTTATCATTAACGTCTTACGAAAAAAAAAAAGATAGAGGCGAAACGAACTAAACCCATTATTTTTACAAAGTATCATCATTATACAATTTCAAACTTTTGTGTTGAAAGTACAAATACCTTTTAAAACGTTTGGAAAATTACAAATTCTTACAGATTCACTTTTTTTACTAAAAAATTTGAAATTATTTTTACGTTACAAACATAATCCAATTAAAATTGGTAAGATTTATGTAAATTTAAATCATTTAAACACTTTAAAATAAATTTGAATTAATTTTTCCTTTATGAGTTTTTTGTGCTGTTCAAAATATTCATTATATTATTGTACTACAATTTTTAATTATAATTTATTATTATTATTATATTAAATGTTAATTACATTTTATTTTAGGTATTGTAGTTTTATATATATATATAGAACTATTCATATCACAGCCATAAGCTTTAGTGAATAAACTAATAATTTTATTGGTGATTTTTAGGGCTCGGATTTTAAAGCTTTATAAATAACAAAAATAGCACAAAATTGTTTTAGTAAAGCAAAAATGAAGAATATTTATTTTTAAAAAAATAATCAACAAAAGAAGAAAAAAAAAGCAATAACCAAAAATTAACATGGAAGTAGTTATAAAACTGAATAAAAAAAAGAATTAACTACCATATATTTTGCAAGATTCACAGTAGTATAACTGACTCTATTATCTGATTCTGATATGTTTGAAAAACTCATCACCAAATTTGAACACATTTGTTTTAACTTTTGGTATTTTTATAAATTATAACACTAAAATTTAAATTTTGAAATAGTCAATATTGATGTTATAGGAGCACTGACCATAGATTATACAGGCTATATGTAGATTGATAATTTATATGTTTAATATATTTAACAATTAAACTGATAACAATAACCGAGTTTTCACATTTCTTATTAATTAAATTAATTTTTTTTTATTACTATAGCATAATTAGCATTAATTCCACAGATGGAATAACTGAAAAAAAGCAATAAAAAAGCATTTACACAAAAAAAAGCCAAAAAAACAAAAATTAATTGTTTTAATTGGTATAAAAATAACATAAAACAAATTTATGTATAAAAATTGGATTTCTATCTCATATATATATATATATATATAAAAAAGAAGCATTTGATTTAAAATCCAAGCCATAGTCATTATATTTTTATTATTATAAGTTAGCAGAACCCAATCTGCAAACATGCCAAATTCCAAGTTTTTCGACATATTTGAAATAATAAACTATAATTTCATAAATAGTAAAAAATAATTTGACAACTATTAAATATTTATGTATAGAAATCTAAATAAACCTATAGAGTTTAAACTAGTTAAATATACTAATATCTTAAATACTTTTTTTAAATTTAGTTAATATGAATCTAAATTAAATACTCATATTTTAACTATGTACTAATAAATAACATACTGACGTACAGATACAACAGTAATATAAAGAGGTCTACATTTATGTTTAGAAACCTATAACTAGAGTAAAAAATTGTATTAAATATTTGATGACCTGTAGTTATTTGTTTAATGTACCAATATAAATGTAAACTTCAGAAATAACTCCAATATTTTATTAATTTTTAAAAAATAATTGGATTAATTATTTTATTATTTTCTTCAATTATTTTATTTAACACCAATCTATTTAAGAATTAATTGTCATTGGTAACTTATTACAAAATCATGAAAAATACATTTTAATTTAGACCAATTAATTTGATACAATAATAAATATGACAGTTTTAGGTTGATAACAAAAAATAATATATTCTACTTAGAACTCAAAATCAATGTAAACATTTTAAATAAGTAATGTTAATTATATTTAAATGAAGTAATCATAACTTAAAATAAAAAAAAAAATAATAGTATAATTTATTTATTCCATCAAATAACTACGAGTAAATATTAAACAATTTTTTTTATTAATATGATGAATTTCATCAAAAGCCAATGACTGTACATGAGAAGAAAGATTGATAACTAAGTTTACAAAATTAAAATTAATTTGATTGACTAGACTAAGTTAACAACAAGAAAAATTAAGGCATTCGTGAAGCAAGTGATCTATCGGGGGGTGGGTGATCTGCGAATTCAGGATGAGTGATCTACGTTTTAATAGTATAAAAACATTATATTTTTTACTACGAGTATGTCATATCATACAAATATTCGTCAAATATAAAAATAAAAAAATTATTAGACAAATATAACTATAATTTCAATTACAGTTAACATTTTATAAAATTCAGATGCATGCATTATAGACAAATTCTGAACAACGAACAATTTGAATCTAACCTATCCAGCAACATTGCTAACTCATAGTTATATTGAAAATGTCATTAATCGTTATCGTAATACTGTCCCAACGCGGTCTACGATAATGTGCGTATAATATTATAATTATTATAATGTATAGGTTATAATAATTGTAGATCACAAACTACACCTTGTATAATACAGTAGGTCACCTGCTACACGAGGTGACCCGTCATTTGATCCAATAAATTATATCCGACGACAAATGATCCGCGACATTTGGTCTAGTGAAAATATCCGATAATATTTTTTATTCTTATGCAAAATATGAACAGTTAAAACAAATAATGAAGTCTTATAATCAAACATTTTTTAAACTAAAACATGTTTTTTTTTGTAAAATATTATATATAATTCATAATATAAATATCTCTGTCTTTAAACTATAAAATTAAAAATTAAAATAATGAGCGATGCTTACCGCTGTGAGATTTGGTTTTCAAAACCAAAACATAACGGGTATCAAAACGACGCGAAATTAACCAATCGTGCGAAGGAAAACGCGAAGCAAACGGACACGACGTTCGGAATGACAAACACACGGAGAATGATGAATACACTGCGACGAATGGCAAATGAAAGAATGGCAGACGAAAGCAAACGGACACGAGGTTCGGATTGACAAACAAACTGAGAATAATGAATACACAGCGACGAATGGCGCCGAACGATAAGAATACGCCGCGTCCCGTTCAAAACGCGAGAAATTTTAACGTATTTTAACAGTTTCGAAGGTCTGTTACACCGTTGCGCACCGCGGCGCATCGGCGCTCCAGTCCAATCGAATGGTTTGGTGGTGCAGTAGTGGAGAGGAAAACGAAAGTACACCTTGGACCGAGAATGTAGGCAATATATACACACACGTTATGGATTATTTATTATTACTATTACTTTTTTTTTCACAGCGTCTTCCGCATAGCCGTAGGTGTAACACGCACATCATTATCATTATTATACAACTTTATTTTTTTTTTGTACTTTGCCACACATACAATTGATATGACAACATAAATTTAAATTGTAAATTAGACGACAGAATGGGAACGGAAAAACGGAATATTTAATAGCCGTCTCGTAAAAAGGGTCGTATAATACGCACGGATAAGGTTAAATGATTTTTATGCATTATTAATATTAACAATCGATGTTTCGATGTTTTTGGTGGGTAAACGAGCGTAGGTCACACCGCAATATCGATCTACAGTCAATTTTTAAGAACATACGTGTATATATGCGTGTTTTGCTTGCTTTCCACCTCCACCAACCACTACTCCGTTGCAAAATAATTAACGATTGCACTTCAACGAAAACGTTATCAAAAGTACATTAATCGCAACATCAGTTCACATTAACTCGTAGTCGTGCACGTAAAAAGTCGATGATTCGTACGAACCGGCCGGGAAACAAACACTCGTGGATATTGAGTTATTCCATACTACTATAATCACACGGAAGCTCTCCTACTAAACATTTTTTTTTTCGTGCTTCTCACGTTGTGCTATAGTTCGTACTTGTGAAATTTCGGTCAAATTTATTAATATTATTTATTTCTCCGTGTAACACACATTCCTTTTACCGCGAAGACAACTGATCGTATTTAACTCGGTTTTCGAATAATTAAAGTTGCTTATTTCACATCCGGTGTACATAATTGATTCGCGAATCGCTACAACAAGTTTTCGCGATAATGTCTTCGCCCCACGTTGACGACGGTGTGTCGGACATCGTGGACGACGTTTACACTATAAGTTTTTGGGCCAAGATATTGGTGAACTGTGGTCTCGTGGCCCTCATCACGTTTCTCCTGATGAAAATATATAAGAAACGCAATGAGCCTCAAGAAGAAGAATTGGAGGACATAGTGCTGCCAAAAATGAAAAAGCGAGATTTCACCATCCAGGAGTTACGGGAGTTTGATGGTACCAAGGGTGATGGGCGTATTTTAGTCGCAGTCAATGGCAAAGTGTTTGATGTGACCAAAGGGAAACACTTCTATGGACCTGGTACACACTACCTACATATAATAATTACATACCAAACACTTGGATTTACATTTGTTTGTCATGCTGTAAAAAATTGACATCTGATTCGTAGGAGGTGTATATTCTACATTCGGTGGACATGACGCTTCAAGAGGGCTAGCTACATTTTCTGTTAGTGGTAAAGATGAATATGATGACTTGAGTGATTTGAACTCATTGGAACTTGAGTCTATGTTGGAATGGGAGACTCAGTTTATGGGTAAATAAACTTTTTTTAAATCAATAGTTTTGTTTTAGCGTTTATTATTATGGTCTTATTTTGAATTTCAAGAAAATTAATGGCTGATTATTATATATATGTACATATTATAATAAAACAAAGATTTATAAATATGATAAAAATCTAGCAGGTTTAAGAATTCAACACTTCAATAGTAGATGAATATTAAAGATAAATTCAAATGATCAGAATAAAAATGATATTAAAATATTATATTAAGGAATCATTATAAGTACATATTATTGATTTATTTATTTATACCCTTCATATTAAATATTAATTATGAAAGCTAAAGCTATAATTTAGTAATTTAATACATAAGCCTTGTAATATATAATTAATAGGTAATAAGTAATGTATATATGATAAAAACCCTTTAAGTTAATGAAATTATAATGACATTAATTAACAGTAGAAATCATATAAACAACTTTTACTGATTCTTCTTTTCAATTAAATTACAATGAGTTTTCTAATGTAAATCAATTTTTTAAATCTTTATTAATCATAAGTATATATTTTATTTTCAACTAAGCAAAAATATAAACTTAGATGACAAATTATTTGTATATATAAAACATTAATTTTTTATAAATATGTATCTACTTGATTAAATTTACATTTTTAGAACTTTAATTTTTATAATTTATTTTTGTGTTTTTAAGTTTTGAAAGTTTAGAAAATTATATATTCTAATTGAGTACCTTTATATTGCATTTAATAGAAAATATTATAAGACACTTAAATAATAACTTATTGGTTGTAACTTTTTAACTAATAAATAAAAAAAAATAGGTCATTATGGGTCATACTGATAATAATAAAAAAAAAATTTATTTATATAATATACTCTGAATATTTACATGTTCAAAGGTACCTATGTTTGTTTGTATGTACATTTAAAGTGTATTTATTATATTCATTCATAGATAATATTTAATTTAACTTATCTTTACATTTTTTTTTAAATCATAAATTATTCATTGATTTTATAAAGAATATATTGACTGAATTATAAAAATATTTTATATTACAAAAATATACATTTGCATAACAGTGACATTTCGAATTTATATAATATATATTTGAGCTCTTCCTTTCAATGTAATACTTTTTATAACTGTTTTTAAAATTTAATAATAGAAGTCTACCTATATAATTTTTTATATTCTCAATTTTATGTTTCAGAGGTGTATTAAACCATAAAACCTTATAAACCATAAAAAAAAAAAAACAATAATATTTTACTCTGTGAATGTAATTATAAGCAATTACCCTCACCTATAAATTATAATACTGTATTCCATATGCTTTGCATATTATATTTTTATCATAAACAGTTACAAGGTTATAGGTATTTTATCATTTTATATTGCAATATTCATGTTATTACTTTAAAATTATCATGAGTTAAATTATTTAATAACGATTTTGCAGTTTGTATTAAAACTAAATTTTCCTGAAATTTTATTTTTAAAAAAAAAAAATTATTTTTATTGATACTTGATAGGGAGTATTTTAATTATTTATGAAATATTGTAATTTTGTGTTTAAAAATGTTAGCTTTTACTTGACCAACTTCTTATAAGCAAATAAATTAATGATAATTTTGAATATAATAATATATATTTTAATAATTTTTTTATATTTGGGCTTACAAATATCTTTGTTAATTATTGATTATAAAAAAAACTTATAACATTTTATATTGAATGTAAATTAAATATTGAATGCCTATAGGAGACAAGGAAAGTACAGATACCTTAGTCAATAGTAACTCTTAAATGTCTGGGACCTATTCTTCACTAATGTGTTGCCTCAAATATTTTTGTATATGTAATTTATTTACAATTAATTTTGTATGTTTTTTATTTAAAATAGAGAAATACGATTATGTTGGACGTCTTTTAAAACCAGGAGAATCTCACAGCTATTATACAGACGAAGAAGAAACTCCTACAAATAAACTTCATTTGGAAAATCCAAAACAATGTGAATCTGAAAAACCTAAAACTGAAACTGCAGACCAACCTTTAGATAATAGTAATGAAAAACAAGATGAAACCAAATCTTCAAATGGTTTAGTCAAACAAGATGATAATCAAACGCTTCAGAAATAGTACAAATTATTCAAATTAACATCCCAGTATTTTTTTCAACTATGGGGGACTGAAGAGTTACATTTGTAACGGTGATGGGATTCATAATATACTATAATGGTGTTAAAGTCTTTTGTATTTGTACTTAATTATATGACTGAATTCATTTGTTTTTGAATCATAATTGTTTTCTTTTTTGGATCTTCATAATACGAAGAAAAATGAAGGCAAAAATCAATAAATATTCAATATCTTTTAATGCATGGTATTTAAAAAGTTTAAATAAAGAAATGAATTTGGTTTTGTTCCTTTATTCAATTTTTATTGGATACGATCAAAAGGTAAACATTTTATTTTTTATAACTACATATTATTAAGTAATAAATGTATGTCATTTTTATCTTGTAGAGGTATTGAAATGCATTCAATAATTATGTAATAAAAATGTACCATTATAATATATTATGGGGGAATGGAATTAAGTATTTTTAAAAAAAAAAAAAAAACTACCAAAACTAAAGAAGCATAACTACTTTAAAATAGCAAAAATATTTCAATACTATTATAGTTTGTATATTTTGCTAATTTACATAATATAATTGTATAGCATGCACAAAATTTACTTTAAAATATAGCTTATATTGAAAACGTATTTTAATGTATAAATTTAACCATTTTTTGGAATAATATATACTTTTTATTAATATGGGTTGTTATGTGATGAACATTAATAATATTTTTATTTTTAAGTTAACTGAAAATTTACGATATTTTCTTGTACAACATATTGGATTCTTATAATGTTGGTGTGTTACAATTTATAAAATTATATATGTATACTTATAATATATTTTTCTTATAATCTTTCTCTGAAAATACTTCTGTAATGTTAAAATTAAATGTTAGTTTTTACATAAAGGTTTCATAAAAGTAAATAAAAGCGTTTTATATTTTATTTTCCTATAATGCTTTATTTCTAAATCAAAATTCAACTTGAAAGTAGCAAAAAACTAATGTAAAAAGTGAACTCCATAATATTATTGTTATAATAATAATATCATAATAATATTTACAAGAAAGTCTTAAAAGGTTATACGGGTATATGACACTTAATTTACAAAAATGTAATTTTTGGTTGTAAACTTAACAGTTATAAATTACAATTGTATTATTTTGATAAAGTATATTGAATAGATGATGTTATAAGATATTGTATGATTTATACAATAACAATTATATAAAAAATTATAATTATAAAATAATTTTATATTTAAAAAGAAGAAAAAAAATTAATTGAGCTATATCAATACTTGATCAGGAGATAAAAATGGATATTGTTGAAGTATTATAATAAAAGCTATAAAATAAAAATATTACAATATATGTATCAATTTTAAAATTTAAAAACTGTAAATAGATGAATTAAAAATATATTCGATGATAATATTCTTATCAACTAATTTATTTATGACAAACTGAATATAATAGTCATAAATGACAAACATGTTTAAATTAATTTATATCTAAATTGCATATAAGTTATAAATTTTCTCTGTTATAAGTTATGACAAAAGTAAATACTTGTTTATTACTTTATAATACTTGCTTACGGCCATACCTATAATCTTATTAGTTTAAAGAGGATAAATATTTAAGACTTACATTTTATCTAAAAATTGGAATAAATATTAATTTTATAGGAAGCTGTATTATTGAAGTTGCTCAAAATAAAATGTAAGAATGTTACAATGAAAATGTGTTTGCTTACTATTCTGATAACCTTTGGTATATCTGATGGTATATTTAGATATCAATTCTGATACCTAAATATTAAATTTTATATGCATACACTGTAGAGTTAATCTTTCTGTAACTTTATACGCATTATATGTATAATAGTAAGATGATTCTATATTTGTAATAGAGTATATACAGTAGATGTTTACTCAATGTTCATATAGATAGGTTGGTACTTAATTATGCAAAAAACTACAAACTCAGTTCAATGGAAACCTTGATAAAATACATATGATAATGCAGGGGTAAGTAGGCAAGTAGGTGGCCATACCCTCCAAAAATTGTTTGCTTGGGCCTCAAGCTATATTTGTTCAGGTAACATGAATTGCTTGTTTTCTAGTTTATATAACTTATGCCCGCCTAAGCTTTTAGGCCCTTAGTCCACCCCTGTTAGTATTAAGCAGTTGATCATTAATGAAGTGCAAGTTTCTTGATACAAAATACCTAATGCAAAATCAAAAGCTAAGAAAAAAAAATTGTTTAGGCACCTACTATAATATAGACTTTGATAATTGGCACTCGTGGATATACCTGTAGTTATTTATTAATTCGATTACCTTTATTAGATGATAATTTATTGAGCAAGTTATAAACAACAAGAAATTATATACAAAATCTCGAATCTAATAGAACACTTGTTATGGTATTTATGTTTTAATATATATATTTAATACCACACCAAAAGTAAAACGTATACAACGACCGATAAAACGCGGTGATAGGTGTCTTCACACGGCGCAATACCGCACAATTGGTATAACCAGTCTGAGGAATATTCCATGAGAGAATTCGTTCTACTTTCGCACGAATCGTCTTGGTGCATGGGTATCGACGATAACATAAATAAAATATGAATATGGTGAATTATGATTAATGAATAATGATTATTGAAATTATTAATGATTTATTATTAATGACCCTACTGAAAATTCATTGAAATATATTAGAATATCCACGCGCACGTAACATAATTATAAATAATAAATCAAAATCTATATAAATAAATGTGAAATATTTATCTCTCAAATTTTCTGAAAATACTCATCCGATAATCATGATTTTTTTTTTTTTTTAATTAAATAGTTCATCGCGGAACAGATTTTGAGCTTGATTATAACTAAATTAATTAAATAATTATCTATTTGTAATTGTTTATATTTTTATACCTCACGGCGTAGCGTGAAAATAAAACTCAGACGTGACCTCAAATAATATACTCCATTAGTAAGCAAGAAATAAAATATAAAATTAAACGAAAAAACGTTTAAATATTAAATAAGTGGCGACATCGCATTATTTCAGTAGGTACTTTTATCTTTTTATTTTTTTTTCCGCTATTTCATTTAATATATGTCTCGGTTCTCTTATGTCTGTTAATTCCAGTCGGTTTCCATTAAGTGGACAAGCGATTTCAGGTAACAGACATTCCAAATAAAACCTGAGGATTTTATGAATTATAATGAATGTATTTTTTTCTTTTTATTAAATTCATTATTTAGTACTAGATTAGGTATAATGACTATATTTACGTTTTCAGTTTTTCCTCCATTTTTGTTTTCCAAAATATTTCATTAAATTAAATATTCTGTACGTTTATCTAGTTTGAAGAATAAATTATAAAATGACAATTGATACTATTTGTTATCCGCAATTGCCCTATAACTTTAAAATAGTATTTATGGTCCTTTTTTAGTTCTACTACATTAGGGTGATGAGATAAAATTAAAATAAATCCGGGACAATAAATTCTAACTTGACCTAATCGTCCTATCTAACTATAACTACTTAATATTTTTATCTTAACATTTTTTACTATTAGGCTTCTTTATGAAATATTAAACACTAAATATTAAAATTATAAAAATAGGAAACATACTTTTATTTTCAACAAAAACTAATTTTAAAATTTTAAATACAATTTACATATTTTTGTACCTACTTCATAGTGAAATAGTGACAGGTAAAATTTTCTAAGCTTTATCTTCAGCTGTCATCGTGTATTTTTGCACGATGTTTGCATTGTTGTATTTTATTAAATCATAATTTTTAGTCATAATATAAAATTAAGTCATTATTATTCTTACTCGTTTATTTTCTACGGTTTATTAATTGTTTTTGTTTCTCTATGGACATTTTATTTCAATTATATTATTTTCGTCGATAAGCCCATTTCACCAAATGTACTTATTAATTATGGTATAATTAGTTGTATATATTTATTTTTATTTTGAATTATAATTTAATTTATTCATACCTGGACTAATTAAGATCAATTTTTTTTTAACGCATCTTAGGTAATTTTTTGAATTTAATGCCACTACAGATGCTTCGACTCTAGTAGCATAGTTTTTTTTTTTTTATGTAAAGTTTATGCGTTTCCCTCCGACATGTTTGTTAATTAAACTATTTAGTTGCTCGCAGGGATTATTCCCCAAAAAAACTTTCAAAAAGTAAAAAAACGCCAGCTCAAAATTAGAACAATTTTATTCTTGCATATCAATGAGCATAATGGAAACGAGAAAATTAATAACGCGATGTGTCAATAAAGCGCGTATAGTGTCACAATTGAAGAATTATTATCATCGAAATAAAATTGACAGTCTTTAGATAACGCCGTCAACAACAGTCCAAATTATTCACAGATTATTCCGGGAAATCTAGTTTGAATGAATTACGATAAGAAATAATCTAAAATCGTAATATAAACCTATAATAATATAATACATACTACTATTGATTATAGATAGTATATCTATAATCAATGATACTACCTAAATACGACTGTTCCGATTAGTAATGGTAAACTGCTATTTTGTAATAACAACTGATAATTATATAAAAGTTTAATATAATCTATGATAATATATTATATAATGCTTATCATTAATTTTAAATTTGATATTTTAATAGCAGCTTATGTGTATCATACCAAATAGCAGTCTATTAGTTATATATATATATGTAAGTGGCGTATATAGGGAAGGCCTAGTGGGTTACAACCCCCCCTGAAATGTTTTAAGAAATTTAAAGATTATTTTAAACGTATGTTATATTTTAATTTATGCTTATTGAGAATTTACGTCCAACGTCAAATCGTTTTGGGACATTCTGTAAATGAAATGTAGATAAGTACCAATTGTGTCTGTTAGTAATTCTTATATAGTAGTAGTAATTTAACTCTGTCCATAGTCCATAGCCCTTCCCGAAAATATTTTCTGTATAAGCCACTGATATAAATATATATTGATATCTAAGTATACCATTAGCGTCGATAACACGCGAATTATCAATGATCACATGTCACAGATATATAGAATAAACTTATTATATCTGTGAATTACGTCTTGCCAGCCGCCAATATGCTACTGCTATTTTTCATATTATATTGAGTGTTCTAACTTTTAAAATAATAGCGAGTAATATTAAAATAAAACAGAGTAGGAAACTAGGAAAACATAAAAA